TAAAAAATGTGAAATATATGTTTTTTATAGCCAAAATCCAAAAAAGAACAGCTCCTTTTTCAGTTTTTTAATCAAAACCCTTGGAAATAATGGTCAGATATTAGAATGCCATATCTCGTTGAATTCGTTACAAAATTTCCAATCGATTGGTATACTCTGCTCAAAAATTTTATTTTGGGCCATATTTGGAAAAAAATCAAGTGTTACCCCTTATCAAAAATGCGAAAATCGGTCAAAAAATAAAATTTACCAAATCCTCCTGGAATCGATTGTATAGGTTCTCAGCTGCACAAAACAGTCATTCTTTTGGCTGTGCGTCTTATTTTGGCAAAGTAACAACAAAAAACGCTTAAAAAATGTGTCTTAAATACATTTTTTATGTCCAAAATCCGGAAAAATTCCACTCGATTTTTCAGTTTTTTAAGCAAAACCTTTGGAAATAATGGTCAGATCTTGGAATGGCATACCTCGTCGAATTCGTTACAAAATTTCCAATCGATTGGTATACTCAGCTCAAAAATTTTATTTCGGCCCAAATTTGGAAAAAAATCAAGTGTTACCCCTTATGAAAAATGCGAAAATCGGTCAAAAAATGAAATTTACCAAATCCAGCTGGGATCGATTGTGTAGGTCACCAGATGCACAAAACAGTCATTCATTTAACTGTGCGTCTTCTTTTGGCAAAGTTACAACAAAAAACCCTTAAAAAATGTGATTTAAATATATGCCAAATTTAAATATTAGCCAAAATCCATAAAAAAAAACAGCTCAAAACAGTGCGTCTTATTTTGGCAAAGTAACAACAAAAAACACTTCAAAAATGAGTTTTATATATATGTTTTTGATGGCCAGCTCGTTTTTTTCAGTTTTTTAATCAACACCCTTGGAAATAACGGTCAGATCTTGGAATGTCATACGTCTTTGAATTCGTTACAAAATTTCCTATCAAATGATATTCTTAGCTAAAATAAAAAAAAATTTAATAAGAGCAGGTGTAGAAAGATCTTAAAACAGTACATCTCGCTAAATCCTGGTATATTTACCTTCGGTGTCCCATTTTCCCCCCTATAGCTCAGAAAATTCGAAATTAATTTGTCGTTCGTGGTTTCCGTTCCTCCATAATTTCGTATGCCTTCTGTCTGGGCTGAGCATTCCATGAGCAAATACGTTGCTGGAAATAGAGATATGCGAGAGCGCTGCAGTAAGCGATATCCCCCGATATTCGGGGAGTTCTTGGAATGGGGGATGCCAGATTCCAGATAGCAGATAGCAGATAAGTGCCAGTTCCCCCAGACTGTAGGACGACCGAAGGGGAGGAAGAGAAACGAAATATGGCGTGTGCCGAGGAAGAAGGATAGAAGATGGAGATTTTCTTTTTTTCGAAAAGAGGGGCTGGGGGTGGTAACAATGTTTTATGGAGTGTTTTCTTGAGTGGTTCTGCCGTATTCCCCCGGTTTTCGTGCTCTTGTTTTTCTCAAGCGGCTGCCGCTTTGTTGACTATAAATAACAATGGATTCATGACTTCAAATTAAACGTCGCAGGAGAAGAAGAGTGCGGGGGGATAGGGAGAGAGCAGGAGGCTGTTTGCCCAAGAAGTCAAAGAAAACAAGAAACGCAAATAAAATATATTTTTCTGAATTTAATCTTGTGTGTGTGTGTGTGTGTGTGTGTGTAGCATGCAACGCTTGATATGAGTGGCAGAAAAAAGCAGGGGGATGCAGAGCAGCAGAGGAAGTGGCCAAAAGGAGGGTGGACTCTGTTTGAGTTGCGGCACATTTTGAGTAATATTAACAAATTGGCTGAGAAAGGCGGCAAGTTTGTTCATCGAAAGAAAGGGGGAGACATTATAGACTATGTAGACGTAAGTTTACATGGGCCAAATAGAGCTCATATATATATAGAGAAACCATTATTTCTTAATCAACTTAAAGCTTAAAGATTTCGAGAACAGGCGCCGCATAAACAGATTAATTACCTATCAAGACCCATTGGGAGAACCTTTTTAGCCAGGAAAACATGATGTGAGTCACCACAGAGCGGCACCTCCTACCTCCTCACCCCTTCCCTTCCCTCGTTAGTCTGGCCATAATGGTCGAGTATCGTTAGTCATCTGCTGACTACCAGAGTGCAAACCCCAGAAAACCCCACTTCGATCGCCCGACCCCACTAAATTGCTTCAGCTCGTTTAGTCTTTAAAACTGCACGTTTTGGACGGAGAAGTAGTAAATGTACTATATATATGTATATATATCTGGTAAAGCGACGGAGAGCCATCCCTTCCTATTGGTCCACCAAATTCAATTCAAATTTTATTCAAATGTTCGCTTATTCATTCATCTTTTTATCATCTTCAGCTTTTGGAATCCACTTTATTGAGCGGATTTTTCTGTAAGCGCCATACCCATTTTTCACCCTCTTCGCCCATCTTGCAGCTCCATCTTGGATTTTTCTCTGTTGGGCATAATCCGATTGTGCGTTGGGGCAAATTATTGTCGGGGATTTCTCTACACTTCTTTTATATTATTTCGTTAGAAGGGGACTTACGGCAATGTGTGCGATTTATGTTAAGTGGCAGACATTGCACTATTTGTTGGGGGCTCTGCTCTATGTGCAGTGAGCAATAAAAATGCCATTCTGCAATAGAATCGAATGCCTTTTCTCAACTTTTTCTCTGCCTTTTGTGACAGCTGCAGGCTATTTTTTGTTGGGAGTACCTGGCTTAAAGGGAGGATTTTCTTACTGAAAGCTAAGGCTTTAATATATGCCTCTTAATTTTTTTTTTTTTTTTTTTTAATTTTGCCTCTTAATAATATATTAATACATTGAAATTCATATAAAATATAAGAGGAAATAAATAAAGTGTGACACTTATGTCTATGAGCACTTTGTGTTCTCTAAATCCAATTGCAATAACTATTGCCCTGTTATAAAGACAGCTGTGACTTGTCCCTTTGGAATAGAATTAAGAATGCGATAAAGATGCTAGTCATGCTGCTTTTCATGTTAGCCCTAGACTGCCATCCGTTCGTGTGGGAATATTCCGAGTGCTTACCCCTTTCCACATCTCTGTAGGTGAAGCTCCTCTATTTCCCACACCCCCAGGGCGCCACCCCATTACAGATCGCAAATACAATAACGAAAATTGCCAGGATTTGGCTGTCTGGCTGACAGGACTGAGACACCAATGGATTTCCAAGCAGCTGCGTCTGCGAATCTAGAAAACGCATTTAGATAAAGTCAACTTTCTGTCTCCTCTTCTCCTTACCGATTACGATTTGTTTTTTGGTTTGTTTTGGGGGCTGAAAGTTTCACACGCCTAAATGCTAGCAATTCATTTTGCTGATGTTATGGTGAGAGTTTAAAGAAATCGGAGGAGAAGCTGCCGCTATTGCACAAGTTTTTCTCGTCTCTGAACTTTGCTGTTTGGGCCATTAAATAAGTCATTGCCAACCTCCTCATCCTCATCCTCGTTGCGAGTTTAAGTTTTAGCGGCTTAGGCGCAGCCAGCTTTTATGGCTCAAGTTCTTCGAAAGTTGCTCTTTTCTTTCTGATTTTCCTCTTTTTGATTTGCTTAAGATTTCAGCGTCTTAGCAAGTTGATCTTGAATCTCGGGCGCCTAAGAAATAGTTTCCTTCAAAGTTTTTTTGGCCAGGCGGTTTTATTCCTGTTGCCACACTCTTTTTCTGCATTTTTCCTTGCATTTTTAAAGTCAGCTAGTTTGGAACTTTGTTTGACCATAATTCTTGTCTACATATTGTATTCTGCGTATCTTTTGGCCATCACCAAAAAGCTGTTCCTTTGGTTCCCTCCCTGAGATTCCAACCCATGTCATGACAGGAATACCCCTTTGACATTTTGTGTGCGTCACTAGCAAGGGAAAAATACCAGAAAAACAGAGAAGCTACAGGCTGAGGCTGCATATTTTCGGCGGTTTATCTAATTTTAACCGCTCGGCGAAGTGGTGGCAAGGACCTTGATTCATTCACCTCGTTTTCCTGGGGCCACTGACTTTTCCCCCTGTTTATCATACTTCAACACCTGCCTTAACCTTTTATAGGAGCAATTGACCCATTTGAGGTACGCAATCCGGACCAAAAGATGAAGGGGAGGTGGTTAAAACCCTACGGTGGATCCCACTTTATACACCCTTTATTCTTAGGAAAAATCCGCCAGCTTCGATTGCCTCTCCAGCTGCTACTTCTTCTCAATTTTTACCCCCAATCCCACATCTTAACCCCGTGACCCTTTGTCAACCCCCCCTCCTTACCATGTCCTTATGTAGCTTCCGGCTTTGTTTAGTTGTCAGCTTGGTTTCCTGGCGTGCCGAATGGAGTTATTTCTTTCCTGACTCCCTCTTGTTCTTCGTGGCAGTTGCATTACTTGCAAATTGTTGTGTAACCGTAAAAATACTTATTTCCTGGGGCGATGGCATTCCTTGGCCATTTCCACAAACACTGCCGCTGCCATTTTCAGTGGCATGGCAGTTGGGCGTTAACTGGTAACTGGTCGCCTTGGTCTGCCTGTTAATTGCACAAGTTTCTTGCAGAACTTGAGCCCTGCTTTAAGGCGTTGGAAGAAGAAGGATGAGCACATGACAAATATGCAATGGGAACCCTTTAAGCTTTGAATTTATTTTACTTCTAACAATTCTTTGCAAATGTCAATTGAAAACACAATTAAGAAATGTTTGCAATATGTTCAAATACAGGTTTTATTTGAAATTAAATTAATTAAGAGAAGTGGAGGGGTCTTCTTGTCTCAGTGTCTTGCGAAATTTAAGAAACCCTTTTTGGCAGTGCTCTTATAGGATTCTCATTCCCCCTGTCTGGTTGACTACTATGCAGCTAATCCCCTGGCGGGGGTCATATGTAACCATTAGGCTCTGTCCTGAACTTTGTCGTGGCTTAGTGTGAATTTAATTTAATTTGGAAAAGTTTTGCGCTGCGTAAAGTTTGCGACTTGAGTAACCTTTTTCTCTACTCCTCACTCTCTCTTTATAGGTGCGTGCCATGGAGCAGCGGCTGAGTGAGTGGCCCAAGCCGCCGCCCCAACAGCCCCAGCATCCGCATTCGCATCCGCATCCGCACCAGCCAGTGCCCAGTCATCCGCAGGAGCAGCAGGCCAGGAACAATAGTTCGCCGAGTCATCAGGCAGGCGGAGCAACTGCAGCAGGGTCTGGAACACCGCCCATCCAGGAAGCGGAGAAAACCATCACCTCCCTGGAGATCCAAGTGGAGGAACAGAGGCAACTGAGACTCCACGACGCCCGACAAATAGAAGCGAAGGCTGCCAAGATCAAGGAGTGGGTGAACAACAAGCTCCGCGATCTCGAGGAGCAGAACCAGTTGCTGCGGGAACAGAACGTCAAGTGCAATCAGCAGTTGGAGCTGCTCAAGAATCACATAGCCAATCAATCGCAGCGACATAGTATCGTAGGTCCTGTGCGCAACAGCCTTAGCCTAGACGTGCAGGATTTCGCCGGGTCCGGGTCCAATTCCGAGCATCGTAGGAGAAGCGAAAGCCTAGATCCCCAGGAGAGCATTGGCCGACCCCTCACCAGCTCATATCCCCATCACCAGCACAGGAGAAACCTCTCGATGGAGCCTCAGGAACTGGAACGTAATCTGGTGGCTGCAGTGGATGGCTTGACCCTCGCCCCACTTTCCAGCATCTCCAGCAAAGCTCCTGGTGGAGGAGGAGGTTCCACTGGTTCGGGCGCAGTTCCCAGGCCAGATAGCTCCGATACAGATACGGCCCATGATTATGCGGAGATTTACACGCCATCCTGCGAAAAGCTGCCCGCCTGGATGAAGAACAATCCGGCTTTAATGGCCAGTGGCGGAAATTCCAGCACCACCACAACTACCACCAGTGAACTAGGCGTGCCACGCCCTCCCACACCGCCCTTGCATCGGTTTCCCAGCTGGGAGGCGAAGATCTACCAAGTGGCCAACGATGGACTGGCTGGAGCAGGAACGGGAACGAGTGCCGGCGAGAGTGCGGCCAGCCAGGAACCAGGTATTCAAGAGGGAACGGGTACTGGCACGGGAACCAATCTCTCCAATGGCCGACGTCATGGTCACAGCCATGGGTCTGCCACGTGCGATGGACACGGAGCCCTGGGCAGCACCCCGGGAACTCCGCTGCCGCCTTCGAGGCAACAACAAACCGCCAGTGGCGGCTTCTGTGATATATCCGTGCCCGTCTACGCAACGGTTAAGGGTCGAGCCTCACAGATCCGTTCGATGCCATTTACGGGCGATTCGAGCGACGACTCCAGTGACGGTGAGGACCATGCGGTGATGCTCACCCACCACTCGCACAACTCCTCGAGCACGGACAACACGGAGACCTCCACCTCGGGCAGTGCCTCCAGTCCCTCGAAGAGCCTGAAGACCTCATCCAGCTTGAGTCCGGCTAAGCGCAGTGGTTCGGAGAGCCCCAAGAACGCCAAGGCGCGTGGTATGTACTATGGATAGTTATCTATACTCCCGTAAAACGTTTTCTGGTGAACCCCTGGCGTAGCGTAGCCCCGATTAGTGTGTTGCCCCTTAGAGAGTTGCATACGTAAATAACAACTAACACTTGATAACTCTGATATCCTAGTTCCCAGTTTCTATCCATCCCAGATCCTAGTTTCAAAATCCCAATGACGCATTTGATTATTTTTTGATTCCCAACCGTAGTATTATTTTCAAATCCCCGCCCTTTTTGTTTTTCTAATCAAAAGCCTTTCCCAATTTGCTCTCCTGCATCCCCACATCCCGCCTAGAATTTTCCTAGAAGACTAACTCCGAAATGAACAAAAAGACTAATTGTGTGCTCTAACAACTTGCGATTCTAACCACTTCTGCCCATCAATCAACCATCGCCGACCGAATAACCAAATAACCGACATTAACCTCTAACCCATCCACCGCAGTCCACCTCCAACCTCGCACATCCACCACACACTGCAGCCACATCAACCAGCTTCTCCAACCGCAATCGCAATCGCACCACCAACACCACACTCTACCCCACCACAATCATAACCACCAGTTGGGGGCCTACACGCTGGCGCCATCGAATGGGCAGATAACGTTGCCACGCCCCCAAACGCCCACGCGACGCGGCCACGCCCCCCATTCCGTCAACACCCCCTCCCCCCTCCAGCACATGCGTGGCACAGTAATTTCAGATCTCTCCTTTGAATCAGGCCTCTCGGACGACTACGCCCTGCCCCCCGACGCCGTTTCGGAGTCCACGTGCATGGACGCTTCGATGCCATCGCTGCTGATGCGGCAGTCCTACGTGGATTCGCCCAGCAAGAAGATCGAGTCGCTGGAGAAGGTGAGCTAGCCACTAGAACCTCCTAGAGAATGGACCTCCATGGCATTTCGCGTTTCCTCTTTCCAGATGGGTCACCTGGCCAAGCTAGGTGGCAAGTTGAAGACTTGGCGCAAGCGCTGGTTCGTTCTGAAGAACGGATCCCTCAACTATTGGAAGAGTCAGCATGACGTGCAGCGGAAACCACAGGGCCAAATCCAACTGGACGAAGCCTGTCGCATCAACCGGGCGGAGGGAGCATCCACTTTCGAGATAGACACGGGCAAGAAGGTATACTACCTCACGGCGGACTCACATGCCACCATGGACGATTGGATCCGGGTGCTGCAGAACGTGCAGCGGAGGAATGCCACCAAACTGCTGCTGAGTCGCGACGATCAGAAGCCCACAGTGCAGGGCTGGGTGACCAAGGTGAAGAACGGACACCCCAAGAAGTGCTGGTGTGTGCTGTTGGGCAAGATGTTCCTCTACTTTAAAGCCCCGGCTGAGACGGTAAGTCACCAATGGAATTCTATTGCGGAACCTCTCCAACCTTACTTTTCTTATTCCCTTAAAAACAGAACCCCCTGGGCCAGATCAATATGCGCGATGCCCGAGTCGAGGAGGTGGAACACGTTTCCGACTCAGATTCCGAGGAGCGAGAGGACGCCGCCCAGGATCAGGCTAGACTCACGGTTGCCATCTATCCAGCGCACCAGGGACCAACCTACCTGATCCTATCCGGCAAACCAGAGCGGGATAACTGGCTCTATCACCTAACCGTCGTTTCAGGCGGCGGTCCAAGTGCTGGCACACAGTACGAACAGCTCGTTCAGAAGCTCATGGAGACCGACGGCGATCCTAGTGAGTCTTCGCTTTTACTACGAGAGAAGCAAATACAGATTTAATGCTTAAAATTACCCTCCCAACTCGCAGACTGTGTCTTGTGGCGCCATCCAATTCTACTGCACACCAAAGACACCATCACGGCCCCGCTTTCATCCATGCACACGGAAACCATGCAGCCGGAGGCCATCAAGCTCTTCAAGGTAAGTGGGTTTCGGAATCGAGAGACCTGCGAGATCTATAAAACCTTTTACATTCTCAGAGCATTCAGCTGTTCATGTCGGTTGCCGTCAACCAGCCGGGAATCGACTACCACGTGGTGCTCGCCCAGAACGCTCTGCAGCATGCTTTGGATATGCCCGAGTTGCAGACGGAGATGATATGCATCCTGATCAAGCAGACCTCCCGGCACATGGGTCAGAAGCTCAGTGTCGGCGTCCAGGTAAACAAGAAGCTGGGCAAGCAAACGCGCGTAAGTTTTTCAGTTGCAAAGCTTCTTATGTCCCCCAAAAATCCTTCTTCCCTGAACCTGCATCCCCCCTGGAAATGTTTAGTTGAATGTCCTTGTTATTTTTGGTGTAGACTTTCCCCCCAAATCCTCACTAACAACTTGCGATAACAGCCCAAGAGAGAAACTCTCGCAGACGGTGAAAAACTGTGCCGAAGGTACAGTCACCACCCATGCCTCAAATAGGTATTCTTTTCATTGCAATCATTACCAGCCAAAAAGAGCTTTGCTTTAAGGGACAAGCTTACGATCGCTTTATACGAAATATCAAAACTAATCTAATTCAATACCATATCAAACATATATACCAAACACTATGAACTAACAGTATCGTTTAGATAAGCATGCTAACCTAACTTAGTATTTAACATAACCAAAATAATCGATTGTTATCATACCCTTGCAGAGGATATTAAAATTTGAAAAAAGACATTTTGTACCTATTAAGTATTTATATTCTTGATCAGGGTCAGCATCAACAGGAGAGTCTAAATAGACATGTGTGTCTGTCCGTCGGTTTCTACGCAGATTGAAATCTATTTGGATGAAACTTTCCCAAAAGTTTTATTTCTATTGCAGATAGTAAATAAGCCGAAACAAAATTATAATTTTATTGTTATTAAACATATACTGATAAACTAAACTAAAAAATAGTTGATTTTAGAATATTTCCTTTTTGTAACTAATGCAAGGGTCTGTATACTTCGGCTTGCCGAAGTTTGCTTCCTTTCTTGTTTTCTGGATCGTTTTTCAGTTTTCTTTTAGTAGCGAACAGACAACAAATTTCCCCCATAACTGTCAGAAATGTTTTCTGTATGTACATATAGCTTTCAATACATTACTGTATAACTCTATGTGTATCTCTATATACTTATCATCAAAGCGAAAGACAATCAAACAGCTCATTGTATAAGTATTTGCTGTAAATTTTACAATACCAAAAAAAAACTACATCAACCACTGAACCACACAAGTCACTAAACCACTGATCAAACATAACACTAACTAGCAGCAGATGCATACTTTTAACGTTCAATATTCCTCTTTTTTACATTGGCACCACTGGTCTCTTGTGTTTGTATTTGGTTAACGTTTCTAGAGTTTTCATCGTTTTGCTGCTTCTATATATCTTTATAATTCGCTTTGAATGTGCTCTTTGGCTTTACCTCTGTCTCGTATCCTTCGCATTACGCTTTTTAAACGAACATAATGAAGCGTTGAACGTTACACAACACTGCCAACAGAAAACAACATCAACTACCAAACAAATAAAATTCACACTTCCAATTAATGATGAGTGAAAAATTGATCCGAAAATGTTCTCTGGCTTCTTCTTTTCTTCATCGTTTTGTTGCTTACGTTGCGTTTCAAACGTTGCGTTTCCGTTGAATGTGTTTCGTGTGTAACCGAACCGAACCGAAACCGAAATCGAAATGTTTTTCAACACTGTACGAACGACCGACACCGAAATTTACAGCAACTACTGTTGTGCGCCACCCAAAGCCTGTTCACCTGTGATACCCAACAGGCGGGCCACGCCCAAGCCAACGGCAGTTCGCCCACCTCCATACAGGTATGCGGGGAAATTTATGGTCTCTAACCACTTAACAATACTACAATATCAACTACCAAATACCACTTTACCACTCTAATTTTCTGTACTGTAACATTCTATGTTGTGCGAGTACACGTACAGTTGCGTTCGATTTCTGTAGTCACGTAGTTAAAACTCTCCTAACCTCACTTCTACTAACTGTATCTCTTAACACCCTGATATCGAATCATATCCGAACTGACCGATCCCGATCTGTAGGCACCTGCCGCCCCGCCCATAATCGACTGCAAGAGCAACCCGCCCGCCTACAGCTTTGTCCAGGGCTGGCAGCTCCTGGCCTTGGCTGTGTCCCTGTTTGTCCCGCGCTCGAGTCGCCTGCTGTGGTACCTCAAGCTTCATTTGTCCCGGAACGCGGATACCAAGACGGAGACGGGCAAGTATGCTGCCTACTGTGAGCGAGCTCTGGAGCGGACCCTAAAGAACGGGGGCCGCGAGACGAAGCCCTCGCGCATGGAGGTGCTGTCCATTCTGCTGAAGAACCCGTATCACCACTCGCTGCCCCATGCGATTCCCGTGCACATGATGAACACCACGTACCAGGTGAGTGATTGACTATTCCCAGGTGATATCATTTGGTCATCCCAATCCTATCACCCACAGGTGGTTTCCTTTGATGGCTCCACCACCATCGAGGAGTTCCAGGCCACTTTGGCTCACGAGCTGGGAACGAGGGACGCCACCAATGGGTTCTGCCTGTTCAGCGACGATCCGATAGAGAAGGACCTGGAGCACTACCTGGAGCCGCTGGCCAAGCTGTGCGACGTGATCAGCAAGTGGGAGACGGCGTTGCGGGAGAAGGGATCAGGCAAGTTCGAAAACTCGCGGGTGATCCAACTGAGCTACAAAAACCGGCTATACTGGAAGCACACCATCAAGTGCGAAACCGACAAGGAGCGCCTGCTCCTGTGCTACCAGACCAATTCCCAGATTGTCCAGGGCCGGTTCCCTCTGTCCAGGGAGCTGGCCCTGGAGCTGGCCTCGCTGATGTCGCAGATCGACATGGGTGACTACTCGCTGGAGAAGTCTCGGGATGTGGGCGTGGGCCTGAAGGGTCTGGACAAGTTCTATCCGTATCGGTATAGGGATGCCCTGGGTGCCGAGCAGCTGAAGGATGTGCAGGAGCTGCTGGTCTCCAAGTGGATGCTCCTGAAGGGCCGCTCCACCCTGGACTGTGTGCGCATTTACCTTACCTGCTGCCGGAAGTGGCCGTATTTCGGAGCCTGTTTGTTCCAGGCCAAACCCCGACAGAGTCCAGATTCAAACACTGCGGCGGGAACTACTCCGGTTGCTTGGTTGGCGGTGGCGGAAGATGCTCTGAACGTCCTTGAGCTGTCCACAATGGCTCCCGTGGCTAGGTATCCTTACAGCTCCGTAATGACCTTTGGCGGCTGCCAGGACGATTTTATGCTAGTGGTTTCCCACGATGACGGCGGTGGCTGTGAGCAGAAGCTCCTGTTTGCGATGAGTAAGCCCAAGATCTTGGAGATCACACTGCTTATAGCCGATTACATGAATGCTCTGGGTCACACGGTCCCCGGAACTCCCCAGATGAACTCCCTCACCCGAAATGGTTCGCATCGTTCGCTGAGAGCCTCCCAGCGTCCGACTTTAGGCGGTGGCTCCGCTGTGGCCACCGGGTTCTCCACGAACGCCACCACCACGGCTCACAACACGCTCAATTCGCATGCCACGCACACGCTCAACTCAAACCACTCGCACACGCTGAGCAGCTCTCATCACGCCGGCGGAGGAAGTCAGCCCGGCACCCTGAGCTCGGGTCACCATCAGCACCACCATCATCAGCAGCACCATCAGCCAGACATATTAAAGAGCACGCCGGATCACCAGAGGATTAAGTGAAGATAAGCGCAGATAGGATCACTAATGGGAGTGCGATTCCTGTGCGTATCACATATGAAGGATAACAGAAACGAGGAGCCAGCGTATCCCTGCTGAAAGATCACACATTGTACATAAACGAGGATCGCAGCTATCACCAGACATATACGACTTAACGATACATATGCACCAGCCTAGTGGCTACAAATATACACCTAAAGATAGAATGATATAAAGATAGAAAGTTGCAGAGGATAGATGGATAGACGGATAGCGATAGTTGTGTAGACGACGACTTAGCTTAAGCGGCCTGAGATGGACCTTCTTCTCCTTGCGCACCACTTACTACAGCTCTTTCCTAAGCCAACAAAGGTACTCGTACTGTAAACTTAAATTGTAAGCAGCAGCAGCAAGCCTATATATTACACATTTAATTTTTTTGAATAGTCCTAAGTCCAGCGTACCCCGAAATTGATAAGGTATGTGAAGAAACTGAACTTGAATCTCAATGTTTAGATTGTTCTTGTCTTATTTTTTTGTTTGTTAATTTTAGCCAGCAAAGAAGCAAACAAAGCAGAACACACCTGTAGTAATGATATATTCGAGTATTCTCGCTCTTCGATGCTTTGTAATGAATCTCAATTTGTAATTGTCCCTCCATGCGCGAAACTGCCTTTTGAATTTGTAGATGTCGGAGCCAGAACGAGAAAAACAAAAGAAAACAAAGCCAAAAACAAGCGAACTAGCATTAGCAGAAACCAATCGTGGAAACAAAAAGATATTTTGTAAAGGATTTTTCAAGTCTAGTGCAGGACGAGCATCAACGAAGCATCCCCATCAACATCAAGATATAGGTACGCCCCGATTCGTATGGTTTCCGCTTCAACTCGAGCAGCGTTTTATAGACCACGTATTTCGTTTTTTAACGCGTTTTTAACTTGTTCAGTGTCCATATGTGTAACGGAAACTCACTCACCAGAGCTTCAACAGAAAATCTTTTACACAGATCAATTAGACAACAATTTTCGGTAGATTAACACTCGTCCCAATAATTATTCCCCACTTTTTACACTCCCTCACACAGAAGTATGTGCATTCATATATACATATGTATTTATATAGAGAGCGTACATATACTTGTATTCGGATTCGATATTTAACAAAATTATACACACCAAATTAACGATATAGCAGTGTAAATGGTAACAGCGCATTTTTTTCCTAATTGTAAAGATTTGATATTACAAATTTATATGCGACGAGACGCAACGAAAACGGAAACTAAACGAGAGAATCGAGAATCTCATTGGGAAGAATCGAAAACCGAAGGCTTGCAAGTGAATATAAACTATATAGGCGAATGTATCACATCACACTCCAGTGAAACGAATTATATATAAAGGAAAATTAACGATTAAATCTAAACCAAAAAAGAGTTGTTGCTTTCAATCTTTAATCTTTCGGGTTTTGGGTATTATAGCATAAATAGAGCTCACACTTTTGTCTTTTTATTAAACAATGTAAATTGATTTATTTGCCTTAATTTTATACATATAAATTGCCTAAAACTGTTACCGTTTCCTTTCTTTTCGTTTTCCTTGCTCTGTTTTTTTTTCAGTTTATATCAATAACCCCGGCCGAATTCGCTATGCTATGTTTCTACCGGCGCAGCGATTCCATCTACAATCTAGACATTTATATATTCACACACACACACACGGATCAGACCGGCTTGGTGTTTATAATTTAATGATTTGGGTCGGCATCGCCCGTCGTGGCTCAAAGGTCATCGTCGAATGGTAATCAAATATGCAGAAAACCTGCGCAAGAGAAGGGAGCGTTAAGCGAAATGAAATGGGCGAAGGAACGAGAGTTAATAGTTAATGGAATATAAGAACGTACAGAAGGCAAAGGTAAGTTGCAAAGTAAAGTTAAACAAGCCTCATACGTTTTTTTGCCTGATTATGAATCATATATGGGAAGTGCGTGTGTGTGTGCATTCTGGGGTACAGGTGTCAGGTGTACGCGTAATCTAAATGTCTTTCGGCCGTGCGTCTTTGACGCTCGACATGCGGCAGAGAACGCACCGCTCCTCCAAGTGACCAAGGGTCAAAACACACGACTGGGCTGAATCCGCTAGCGAATATTACAGAACCCAGAAGTACAGGATGAACACTAGGAATATGATGCCCACGGCGGCAGCCTTCGCGTACATGGACTTGCGGTTAAGCAGCTTGGCGTCTTTCTTGTACTTCTGCGACATCATCGACAGGTTCTGGGTCTTGCTGTCGAGTTCTGAAAGGGAAAAATATTCAAATATTATTGCTTAGTCCTAGACTCTCATAAATGAAAACTATGAAAGTTACGGAAAATCAAGCAGTGGAGCTATAAAGGGTATCACAGATCCACTGGATCTTATGATGCATTATCCCAGACCTACATAGCCCAAAACTATGAAATCTTTCTGAGCTTAGACAGTTTCGGAGTGGGTCTGGTATCTTATCTGATAGTTACCCGCCAGTACTGTGCCACGTTGGAGCACGTCGTCAATGTTTTGCACCATGATCCGCTGCACATCCTGCAGCTGTGTGTTGATGCTGCTGATGTTGCGCCTGCGGTCGGTCAACTGCTTTTTGGCCTTCTGTATGTACACGTCGAACTCGATGAATGCGTATGGCCGCGTCACCGAATTGACCCGCCTGCCGTAGTTGGCATGGAACTCCTGGGCCAGGTCCTCCAGGTAATTGAAGGCCAGTCGCTTCGAGTACATCTTGTCCACCATCACCAGGTAGCAGACGTCGTTCTCGATTAGGTAGCTGCGGGGAAAGATGACACATTGCTTATAAATTACGTTAATGTGTTTTAAATTTCATCACCAATCATCTTTACTGATTAGCGACATAATTGAATATCTTTTACTAAGGATTGTTGAACAATGGAACAATTTGTCTATGAGAATCCATATACGTGAATATGAAGATGCCATCCTGTTCCCGGGATCACCGGCTACTCACTGGAATAGGTAGGGTCCTGTCTCGATGCTGCTTCGTGCTGGTGAGTGGGTGCCCAGCTTGCGGAAAAGCATCTTGGCCTGGTTTTGGTAGTCCAGTATGCTGCGTCCGCTCTGGAAGTGAAAGTGCCTCAGTTGCGGGAGCGGAACGGGTTAGAAAGTGACGTTGGCTACCTGCTCGTCATCCTGCATGGTCCCCACCAGAGGGAGGCCATCGATGACCCTGGCTATCATGGTCAGCAACGCCATGGCTCCGGTTGATCCTGGTTACGATTATCCGTGGGATTGGGTCTCAGTTGCTTTGGCCACGGCTGCTCTTTGCGGCCGCCTTCTCTCGTTGGCTAAGTAGCTACTTATTTCTGATGTGGCCCTATTTCCATCCGATCCGATCCAAACCAAACCAGTCCAGTCCAATGGGTGAAGTTTGAGTCGGAGCGTCCCAGTCCCAATCTCCCGTCCTCTCGATTTCACAACTCAGCTGATCGAACAGTGCCTTCTGTGCCTTCTCCTCCGATTCCCTGGATTGCCGAATAGTCTCTGTCTCAAATTAGCCAATGTATGCACGTATGATGGGACATCGCTGGCGGTGAAAACTAAGTTGCAACGGGCGGATTGTGGGTTTCTGGGATGCGATTCGTTTGTTGTAACCAAACCACGTCACCGGTGTGACCGCGGAAATATACCAACAGAATTTAATATACCACTAACGGTCACCCTAATTGGTAGAGCCGCGAAAAAGTCGATGATTATGCGATACTATCGATGTCACAAAATGGTTCGTTATTATGAATTTTAAAAACGTTCAGGAAATATATTAATAACATTACCAATTTAAATCCCTTAGATTTTGTGGCCTAATTATCTCATAATCTGCATTCACAATTTCATTTTTAAAATTGATGCGTGGTTGATCAGACATTTTATGCATAAAACCTGCACTCCTAAGTCCATAACTTTTCTTACAGATATCCGATTTCAGAGTGGCATACCTCAAAATGATTGGGTTTTAATGCTCAAAAAATCTGCATTTTCACTTTACTTTTTATTTTTGGGTCGATTTTTATACCCTTGCAGAGGGTATTATAATTTTGGTCAAAAGTGTGCAACGCAGTGAAGGAGACATCTCCGACCCTATAAAGTATATATATTCTTGATCAGGATCACCTCCTGAGTTGATATAGCCATGTCCGTCTGTCCGTCTGTCCGTCTGTCTGTTTCTACGCAAACTAGTCTCTCAGTTTTAAAGCTATCGGATTGAAACTTTGCACACACCCTTCTTTCCTTTGCACGCAGTATATAAGTCGGAACGGCCGGGATCGGCCGACTATATCCTATAGCTGCCATATAACTGATTGATCGGAAATGCCATAACTTTCGTGTTTGTAAAGTTAGGAAGTTGGGATTTTCTATGGGTTTTATATTTAGCCAATCAATCCGACCTACCAAATTTCATAAGGATCGGCCGACTATATCCTATAGCTGCCATATAACTGATTGATCGGAAATGCCATAACTTTGGTGTTTGTAAAGTTAGAAAGTTGGGATTTTCTATGGGTTTTATATATGGCCAATCAATCCGACCTACCAAATTTCATAAGGATCGGCCGACTATATCCTATAGCTGCCATATAACTGATTGATCGGAAATGCCATAACTTTGGTGTTTGTAAAGTTAGAAAGTTGGGATTTTCTATGGGTTTTATATATGGCCAATCAATCCGACCTACCAAATTTCATAAGGATCGGCCGACTATATCCTATAGCTGCCATATAACTGATTGATCGGAAATGCCATAACTTTGGTGTTTGTAAAGTTAGAAAGTTCGGATTTTTTATGAGTATTAAGAATGCATCATATGAATAATTTTGGAGAATATAATTTGCAGAATATTCTGCAAGGGTATTTCAACTTCGGCTCCGCCCGAAGTTAGCTTTCCTTTCTTGTTCGTCATTTTTTAATTTACGAAAAATGGTTTTGCAAAAAAGGGCCAAAAAACCGCACTTCTAAGTCCATAACTTTTCTTACAGAGATCCAATTTCAGAGTGGCATACCTCAAAATGATTGGGTTTTAATGCTCAAAAAATCTGCATTTCCACTTTACTTTTTATTTTTGGGTCGGTTTTGCGTCATTTTTAATGATGTTACCCCTTTCCAAATTTTCGAAAAATGGGCTTGCAGAAAAGTGTCAAAAAAACGGCACTCCTAAGCCCATAAATTTTCTCATGTAATGTTAATGTAATGTTAAAGTAATGTTAATGCAATGTTAATGTAATGTTAATGTAATGTTAATGTAATGTTAATGTAATGTTAATGTAATGTTAATGTAATGTTAATGTAATGTTAATGTAATGTTAATGTAATGTTAATGTAATGTTAATGTAATGTTAATGTAATGTTAATGTAATGTTAATGTAATGTTAATGTAATGTTAATGTAATGTTAATGTAATGTTAATGTAATGTTAATGTAATGTTAATGTAATGTTAATGTAATGTTAATGTAATGTTAATGTAATGTTAATGTAATGTTAATGTAATGTTAATGTAATGTTAATGTAATGTTAATGTAATGTTAATGTAATGTTAATGTAATGTTAATGTAATGTTAATGTAATGTTAATGTAATGTTAATGTAATGTTAATGTAATGTTAATGTAATGTTAATGTAATGTTAATGTAATGTTAATGTAATGTTAATGTAATGTTAATGTAATGTTAATGTAATGTTAATGTTAATATAATGCTAATGCAATGTTAAAGTAATGTTACTGTAATGTTAAAGTAATGTTAAAGTAATGTTAAAGTAATGTTAAAGTAAAGTTAAAGTAATGTTAAAGTAATGTTAAAGCAATGTTAAAGTAATGTTAAAGTAATGTTAAAGTAATGTTAAAGTAAAGTTAATGTAATGTTAATGTAATGTTAAAGTAATGTTAATGTAATGTTAAAGTAATGTTAATGTGAACTAGTGTTATGTTAATATGACGTGGCTAATTGTAGCCTAGTCATCGTCTTTGCTAATTTTTTCTCGCCCTCGGTATTTATAATTCCCAATCAGTTCTAGCCAAAAAATTACGACCTACTGGTTGTTGGCAGCCCATAATCAGTTTAATCGGATGACCAAAAGTGTAAGTGTGTGTTTCTTGAGAGGTTCCAGATGATCAATGGTTATACCATATGACATGGATCGTTCACCAGGATGAGTGTGTGTTTATGACTTGCATTGTTCACCAGGATGTAGGATCAAGGACCTCTCAAGGTATGTTATATATTATAAATTAATTCACATAATTCGCATAAAAATGTCCAAAAACCTGGAATTTCTAAGCAGATAACATTTCGTACAGATATCCGACTTTAAAATGCTAAATGATCGTGGTTTAATTTTCTAAAAATCTGTGTTCTTAACTTGTTTTGTTTTTTGGTTCGATTTTTCGTAATTTTCAATGATAAAACCCCTTTCCAAATTTTAAAAAAATGGGTTTGCAGAAAAGTGACCTAAAACCTGCACTCCTAAGTCCATAACTTTTATTACAGATATCCGATTTCAGAGTGGCATACCTCAAAATGATTGTGTTTTAATGCTCTAAAAATCTGCATTTTCACTTTACTTTTTATTTTTGGGTCAGTTTTTCGTCATTTTCAAAAAATTGGCTTGCAAAAAAGTGTCAAAAAAACGGCACTCTAAGCCCATCAATTTTCTCACAGACATCCGACTTAAAAGTAGCTTACCTCAAAATGATTGTGGCTTAATTCCTAACAAATCTAAGTTTAAATCTGTGTTTGTAAATTTTGATCGATTTTCTTGACACTTGTTCAAAACAGTAGTCCTAAATAGTCCGAGGTACCATTGAACTCATTAAAAAAAACTGCGATGCTGTCCAGTGTCCATTCCTGTTTGCTATTTGAGTTATTAACCAACATAAATCGGAATGCTTGGCATCCCGCTCTAATTCGGAATTCGTCTGCACAAGGCGGTTATGCAACCCGCTCCAAATACCCGGCGCGGATGGAGGAAGTGCGCCCGAACCGAACGCATAGCTTAGATGTTTCCTCGACAGCGGCCCGCCCAAAAGTCTGCCCAACAGGTTTCGCCCGCAGTGGGCATCCATAGTTTTCCACGTCCACATCCCAGTTTTGGCCCGAAAGGAAAAGTGGTTCGAGTGCGAAACCGGACTGCCAGCAGGGACTTTCAGGCCAGGCAATTAAATTACCTGTGGTACTTGTACTTGGAGGTGCGTGTACGTTTGGGCACAGCAAAAAATAATATGTGTTTTTAATATGTATTATTTTCAAATCAAATGAAAATATTTTTAAACAGTACTAAAAGATAATGAAAATGCTAATAATGCTAATGATAATGGCATTAAAACGCAACATGAAACCTTACTTAATTTCATAAAATTGCAAATATTCTCGTTTTCGTTTTGCTAAACTTAAGCATGCAGTCGCATCTTGGATTAGGATTGTTCCTAACCCTTTTTTTCTCTGTGCATTGCTTCACAAGCCGACAAATGCGTGCGCTTCCGTTTTACTTGATTTGAACTCCTTCCTTTTTCCGTTTTGGAGGAGGTGGGAGATAAATAAGATATAAAAGAGACTGCTCCGCCCAGGGGCTCCTCAATCCAAAGTCAGTTATGGTCGGTTTCGGGTCAGTTCGTGCGACGCTCTTGGGTTTCCTGCTCCAGATCCTGTGCGCTGGGCTATCTGCCCAGCAGCTCCTCCTCGATCGTCCACAGAGATCCCTGTACGACGATCCCCTGGAGCATCTGCCGCCGCTGGGCTGGAATAGCGTGGGCGGCGGATTCGGAGTGGGTGATTGGGCCTACAACCCCGTTGGCCTCGGTCACATGAGCAAGGATGAGCTGCTGACACTGCTGGAGGCCTGGAAGGAGGTGGAGCAGGAGCAGGAGACGGCCGCCACAACGACTGCCCCGCCGGCAGAGACCACCACCCGAAGGCCACCGGCTCCACCGCCACCTCCTCCGCCCCGCCCCATTCCCATACCCATCTCCATCCCAATGCCTGCTCCCTCCATTCCCCAGCTGCCTTCTGGGACGCCCATCACTGTCAGGCTCCCAGCATTTGTGCCCGTCCGTCTGGCAGCGGTGTTCACACCACCCGCCGGTGGAGCTGGTGCTGCAGCAGCTGGTGACGCCGGAGGAGATGACATGGCCACCGCCGACGGGCCAGATGACGACGCCACTCCTCGCCTCTTCCGCTTCATGTCCATGCCAGGGGTTCGGGCCAGGTCCCAATCCCAGTCGCAGCCCAGGCAGCAATTCGTGGTGAGGAACACCCTGGACAGCGTGGACGCGGGCACTGCTCCAGTCCGGCACCTGGTGAAGCCGGAAGTCAGGCCCAAAGCCACGGCGGCTGCAGCTCCCCCGTCCATTCCCAAGGCGCCTGGCCAACCAGCTCCCTTCTTCCGCCCCAGGTAAGCCCAAGTGAAAGCGAGTGGAGTTGGAGTGGTCACTCATTCCCCAAATTCGCCCCAGATTCGGTGTGCCTCCGCATCTGGTCAACGCCCGCTTCGAACTGGTGCCCTCCTCCCAAGTCATCGGAGATTGGCGGGAGTGACCTGGGATCTGGGAACTATAAAATCCTGGAGAGAAACATCCGGATTCCACTAACCAAAAGAGAATAGTTTCACCAAGAAACTGTGCAACTTCCGAAGGAGGCTTCATTGCTAGACTATCCCCACTGCCTCCTCCTATATTTTATTGAATATTATTTTTTTGTTTGCCCAAATATATTATGGAATTAGTCATAGGTTAACAACATACTAAGGAAGTTGATTGCACTTCCCTTTAGTTTTAAATTCAGTATTTGCTCATGGGGTTTTGCATCAAGAAGTTCTTTTAAATGCTGGAATTTATTCTAAAATGTTTTGGAAGGCGACTCTATATAGACCAGCAAAAATAAATATGTACATATGTACATGCTGTGATGGTCTGATCGGAACGATCAAAAGGAAATATTTAAACTAACAATCAGAGCGTTTCGCTTCAACGCAGTTAAACAAAAGCAAAAAAAAAGGGTAGATCATTTGAGATTCAAAAAATTCCCAAGATGTACAGCTCCGAGTCCATTAATGTGCTCTGCGGTGTGGGAGTACCGCGTCCGAACTTCCAGCGGCTGATTACCTACGTGGAACCCGGCGGCTGGAGAGGCTGGTTGGAGGAGCATCGGGAGATGCAGGTGTGGCGCCGGCGGAAACGGAGCTCCGTCAGCGCCTCCTCGATCAGCGAGACACGCCTGCACTGCCCGGAAGCCTTTCTGCGCGTCACCATCGTAGAAGTGCATCCGCAAACCGGTCGGCCGATGACCAGGTGTCTCACCTACCACCGCAGCCTGTGGCCCCGGCACCTTTCGCCCCACGCCTCTCTCGGCCGTCGGCCCAAGCTCATGAACATGCGCCCGGTATGGCCTCCGCCAGAGGAGAGGGCCTTCGCCAAGCTAGAGCTCATCTGGCAGCGTCCTGGCATCGACGGCGGCCTGGCCCCCCGAAGAGTGCCTGCCCGGATGAATGTCAGTGGGGCGGAGCCGGAGAACCGGACTGTGCATCCCATCCGAGTACACCACAAGGCTCTGCAGACGGAGGAGGAGCCGAGAAAGGTGGTCCACGACAAGGCCACCTGCGTGGGCAGCTCCTCCCGCTCGATGATCTCAAGTAGGATCGCCAGAGAGAAGTCCCAAATGCTGAAGGAGCAGCAGGAGATGGTGTCCGTTGCCAAGAAGGTGCAGGTGGAGAAGTTGAAGGGTAGGGACAGGTGCAATGGCAAGGGCTCCAGTGGATCGGATGGTGGCCACAGCATTGCCTCAATGGACGCCGTGGCGCAGACAGCGGCGGCGGCGGATGCAGTGACTCCCGATCCCTCCCTTGCCTCCAGCCTCACCACGGACTCGCAGGGGATCGATGAGCTATCCACGGCGGCGGGATTAACGGCAGCCTTCGCCTGGCGACATGAGGTCTTCCAGCAGCTGGCCTGGCGCTCCAGGAGCCTATCTCTGCCGTAGACAAGATGTGATTGATGTGTGAGTGTCGGCAAGGGTAAACTGACCAAATTTGTGAGTGAAATAGGTTTAATAAAAGCAGTTTTGCAACAAATGTGTTTGCATTTTGCTAGTCTTTAAGTTTTGAAAATATTTAAATTGGCAACTACCGATGGCCGATGACCGATAACTTTCTGCCGGCGTTAACCAGCACTGGGCCTCAGCTGGGTGGTGCTCCTGTGTTGCCAGACCATCAATCAAAATAGGAGCACGTCGAGGGAAAACTGACATTGCCGAGTCATTGCCGCGAAAATCGGGCCGTGAAAAGTGTTTACCATCAATGGCTGAGTGCGAGCCTGTGCAGTGAAAGTGAAAGGTGCCTCAAAAGTCCCCAAAAAATCACAACTCCGCGGGAAAATCTCCCGCTGTCGCGCCCGACTGGCAACCCTCGCTGCTTTCCCGCCTTTTTCTATGGCGAGAAATGGAATAAAAGTTTTCAGTGCGGCGCTAAAAAGTTACATGTCCGTGAGGAGCGAAGTGGCAAGAGCAGATCACACCGGCAGCCACTAGGAAAAGCCAGCGAAAAGTCCGCACAACCAGCAGCCCCAGTTGCGGTGTTCCAACCCTGCTTGCCTTCTCTCCGCCTCTCTATTCCAGGCTGCTGACGGAAGCAGCGGCCGCGGCGGAAAAGTCAGCCGGAAAAACATTCGCATTCGCACCCGCAGAACGACAGCCACAGCAACATCCGCATCGGCAGGATGAGCGAGCCCGAGCCGCAGGAGCTGGGCGCCGAGGTGGTCAGCGGATCGATGGCGACCAGCGACGACCAAATCCAAGAGATGACCAAGGCCAAGTACACGAATCTGTGCCGGGAGCTAAACATGGACCGGCAGACTGAGCTGCAGGGCTACCAAATGTACCACCAGGTTTCCCAGCGGTGCTCCCTGGAGGTGAGTTGCAGTGGGAACAGAACGAGCATGAACTTAAACTAACCGTTCCCTTTTCGGCAGGGCGAGTCCATCCACTGGCTGTGCTGCGCATTGTACGCCGCTTGCCGAAGGTCCAGCACGCCCACAGTCATTGGCCAGGATGCGGTGGTCAGGGGCAACTGTGTGTCCTTGAACAATTTGCTGCGCTGCTGCCAGATGAGGTGGGTTTCCGTTTGCGTCCTGTAGTTTCCTGCCCTAACTAGTCATACCTCTCTTTCACCAGCATCTACGACTTTAAGACCAAGATCAAGCTGTGGTGCGACATGGCCAACCTGCCTCAAGAGTTCATCAACGAGATCGAGGTCCTGGACCGCAAGTTCAGCATCACATTCACCCTGTACAAGCGTTTCCGCACCATTTTCGACAAGATCTTCTCGTGTCCGCCCAACGAGAAGAAGCACTCCAAGTACACGTGCGTATGGCATCCTGGGAGCCCTAATCCCCGTTATTCTAAAGTCCCCTCTCCGAAACAGCTCCCTGCATGGCAATCACGCCCACGGCAAGTGCTCCTACATCAAGTTGGACGACATATGCTGGCGCCTGTTTCTCTGCGCCAAGAACCAGAAGCCCAGCAACACCGTGGACCTGGTCACCTCCTTCAACCTGATGATTTGCTGCATCGATCTAATATACAACAACGTGCTGGCCGAAAAGCGCACCGATCTCATTAACCCCAAGTTCGAGGGCCTGCCGAGCAACTGGACGGAGCTGGACTTCCGCCATAAGCAGCACTGCATCCTCGGCTACTTCTGCGACATGACCGAGGAGGCCAAGGCCATGAAGGCCACCACCTTCCGCGAGATCATGACGAGCTTCTTTCAGACAATGGTGGGTGCGATGAATGAGCGGTCTTTGAGCACCTAAATGGCTTATAATAACCATGTTTCCATCCCAAACAGACCATCTACGGCAACAAGGACACCATGCTAAACCTGCTGACCAACGAGAACTTCGAGCGGAACCTCAAGTCGCTCAACATCAGCTACGAGCAGTATGTCCTAAGTGTGGGCGAGTTCGACGAGCGCATCCTGAGTGCCTACGATGCGGGGGACCATACTGGCCTCAACGACCAGGCCCTACGTCCGCCAGTCACCCCGCTTACTCGCAAGCAGGACCTGCCCGCCCAGCCGGCGATGGCCGGCGACAAATTTGAGCCCGTCCGCAACGCCACCAACAACGTTAAGCACCTGATCGCCTTCGGGCGCCTCACTGAGCCCACGGACTTCGTCAAGTAAGCGAGTCGCGAGTCTCTGGGCATTATAGAAACCTTGTGTTTGTTGTATAAGCAAGCCATGGGCGAAGGTGTAAACAAAGTTTAATTTAAATATTTATTTACAATGCACAGGTTGCAAGAACAAGTACAATTTTCGTGAATCTTGAGTAAGAAATGTCTTTTCAAACGAATCTGAGCAAACTACCTTTCATTTTAATATTGTACGAATGTGTACAAATTCTTTAATGTAGATTTATGTGAATAAGAGGAATTTTAACGAATACTTAGATTGTGGCTGTAAAATGAATTCAAGTTCAAGTAGAGATTTTTAACTGATGCAGCAACCAGAAATTCTAACTTTAATACCATAGCGCACCTTTTTAATCAATGTCACCCTCTCTCATCTTTAGGCAAGCTGGAGAGGAGGTCATCGCCAAGCTGCTTAACATCATCGAGGAGACTAAGCAGAAATTCCTCGCCAAATATCCGTCTACGGAGGCGAAGAGCCGCTTCCGCCTGGCCAAGTCCTTCTACTTCTACTTGCTCGACCAGATCCTGCAGGCGGAAATCCAGAAGAAGCCCGACATCGATCTCAAGCGACTGCTGGTGCAGAACATCTTCAACATCACGCTGATAGCCTGTTGCGTGGAGCTGGTGCTAGAGGCCTACAAGACGGAGCTCAAGTTTCCGTGGGTGCTCGACTGTTTCAGTATTAGTCCGTTCGAGTTCCAGAAGATCATTGAGATAGTGGTGCGACACGGCTCGCACGAGGGCTGTCTGAACCGGTCGCTGATCAAGCACCTCAACTCCATTGAGGAGACTTGTAATGAGCGGCTGGCGTGGGCGCGGGACTCGCCCGTCTGGGACATGATCGCCTCCGCCCCGCCACCGCTGCCCACGTCGTTTGAGGTAAACCGCGATCGCTCCGCCGGCGTCCTGCAAATCTTCCTGCGCAAGGTGTATCTCCTCGGCTGGCTGCGTATCCAGAAGCTGTGCTCGGAGTTGGGCCTCTGCGAAAGGACGCCCGAGTGCATCTGGCATATCTTCGAGCACTCGATCACCCACGAGACGGACTTGATGAAGGACCGCCACCTCGATCAAAATATCATGTGTGCAATATATATCTACATTAGAGTGAGTAGCACAGTTTTTGTCTCTGTCTGATTCGCTGGCTTACATAATGGGAGCATGGTATTGTAATATATTCAAATTGTCTAATATCATTCTCCCTCTCAGGTAAAGCGAATGGAGGACCCCAAGTTCAGTGACATTATGCGGGCGTACCGCAACCAGCCGCAGGCGGTGAATAGCGTCTACCGCGAGGTGTTCATCGGGATGAACGACGACGGCCAGCCAAAGGTGAAGGACATCATCCACTTCTACAACAACAAGTATGTGCCGATGATCCGGCAGTTTGCCATCGACTACCTGAACGTTACGCCGGACGTGAGTGGCCGGACCTCGGACCTACTGCTCTCCCCGCACCCCAAGGAGCGGGCCGCCCAGCCCAAGAAAGTCACCCAGAACCACTCGCTCTTCGTGTCCCAGATGCCCAAGAACGAGATCCAGCAGTCGCCCAACCAGATGGTCTACCGATTCTACCACAGCCCCGCCAAGGTAAATATTATTTATAACAACTATTAGTTCAGAGTCCTAATAGCCTTAATCCTTTTGTTTTTTCCACAGGACCTACAGTTGATGAACGAAAAGGTACGCGGAGGCAAGCGCATGCTGAGATTCGTGGACGAGCCCGGATTGGGTGGCGTTGTGGAGGTAAAGCGCCAGGTGCGAGAGATGCCGCCGCACCTTAGCCAGAACGTGATGGACGACCGGGAACTGCAGGCTGGAGAGCAGCAGGCCACTGCGCCGGCGGACGGGTGCGGCCAGGGAGGAGGCGCAGGAGGGGAACACGAGACATAGACACGGGGCTTCTGGGGGCAGCTTAGACTTAAGGTTATTACAACAAAACAAAAAAGAATACTAAAAAAATCCGGCGCCGGCGGCCACTCTTTCTACACGCTGGCTTCTTCGGCGCACGCTTGACTATTTTATGATTGTTTTTTTTATTAACTCTTTTAGTTTGACATTTTAATTTAAATCCAACCACAACCAACCACTCGAACGCATCTCTTTTATAGTCTCTTTAACGCCAGCCAACCATATAAATCATATGCTAACCATACAATATATGTAAACATCCAATACTTGAAAGGAATTTTAGAAAATACCTACACACCACCCAAATCCATCGGTCGCGACTCCCTCCTTATCCATCCCGAAGCTGAAGGGGATCGGGATATGGGTGGGTTGCGACCGCAAACAAATCAAATTAATGCAATCCACATTATATATACACACATGTATACAAAATACACTATATAAAAATTGATATTGATTGTATTGATTTCTGATCCTGACCGAAGTGGCCTGCGGGAGAACATGTTAGACCCCATATTTATGACTTTTCTGTATATATAAACTTAAACGTTTATGCCAAAAAAATGTATTGGCATTTCTTATTTTTCATAAATATTTAGGAATTTATTTCGTCCCTGCTTAACACACATTTTTTAATGGTTTTTTTGTTATAGCTTTGCCAAAATAAGGCGCACAGCGAAAAGAATGACTGTTCTGTGTAGCTGACAACCTACACAATCGATTCCAGGAGGTTTTAGTAAATTTTATTTTTTGACCGATTTTCGCATTTTTGATATTTTTTACCAAATATGGCCCAAAATAAAATTTTTGAGCTGCGAATACCATTCGATTGGAAATTTTGTAACGAATTCAACGAGGTATGACATTCCAAAATATGGCCATTATTTACAAGGGATTTGATTAAAAAACTGAAAAAACGAGCTTTTTTTCTTAATTTTGGCCATTAAAAACATATATTTAAAACACATTTTTTAAGCGTTTTTTTGTTGTAACTTTGCTGGTTAACGCAGAAAACTGATATTTGGTATCCACTAATTTTTATGCTCGTCTAGGGTTGCAAACCGATAAATCTAAAATTGCTCGTCAAATTGGAGCGGCCAAATCAAATTTTTCCCATGCAAACTGGGCAACTTCCCATTCTGAAGTACCAGGCGAACATAAATGCATAGCAAGTAGCCGGCGTCCTAAACAAGTGATGTGCGATCAGCTGTTTTTTCCATGATGGCCGCCACACAACCGATTCTGATTGGACAACCAATAAGAACGCAGCTTCCATTTTACTAAATTTAACCGTTACTTGTATTCCAGCACACAGGGGCGTAGTCAGCGAAAGCAGGGGTTTGGGGGCCAAACGTCCCCAAATGGCGATTTAAACCCCGTTGACAAAAATTCTGACTACGCCCCTGCTTAACGCAGAAAACTGAAATTTCGATACCTTCTAATGTTTATGTTTGCCTGGTGTTTGGCGCAGATTTGGAAACCACGTTGTTGCGTTTGGTGTCTAAAATGCAGAAATATCAAAATTTATAGTTGGAACGCCTTTATTATATGTGATCGGGTGATCCTACGGATCAAGCCGGAGTGTGCTCGTGATGAAGGCTAAGGCGCACCGCTGCGGAGTGGTCACCTCCGCCTGGAGGCGCTGCTCCAGCAAAGGACTGCAGGTGAAGAGCGGCGCCGACTGCTCGGGAACAATGCGGAATGCGACGCGCCGCCATGTGGTCCGCACCTCCTCCAGGCGATCCTCCTCGAGGGACTCGCGCATCGCCGGCAGATCCGAGCCCCTGGCAAGCATCAGCAGGTGGGCAATGGCCAGGCAAAGCTGTTGCTGCAGTGCATCCCGGTGGTTGTACTCCTCGAAGCTGTCCAGCGCATTAGAGCGCTCCAGGGCCTCCAGGAGCGAACGCCACACCAGCGGGAAGTGGGTGCCTAGATCCTGACGCTGCTCCACCTGCAACAGCACTCCGGCGGCATTGGTGCGCACCTTGAAGTTGGCGTGCTGCACGGCCAGTTGACTGAGGGCGGGGAACAGGATTCCAGCCAGGTGGCTGCTGGCGAAGAAGGCCCTGTGCCTTACCAGATTTCCCATGGCGTGGCAGGCGTTCCACTTGACCTTGGCGTTGCCCGAGGATCTCACGCAGTCCAGCAGCTTGGACATGGCCAGCTGCATCTGCTCACCGTTCTCGGAGGGCTGGAGCTGCAGGATCCGCAGGAGATTCCCCAGAGCCCGCACCGCATTGGCCCTGACTTTGTCGTTGTCGCTGCAGCTTTTGGTGGCCGCCTGGATAAGGCGGCCCAGGAGCTCGGCGGATACCTTCTCGGTCTGGTTGGGTATGGCGGCCACCAAGGCGTCACTAATGTTTCCGAGCGCCCAGGCGGCCTTGATCCTCACCACTAGCTGAGGATCACCTATGATGCGCAGGGTCAGCTCCGCCGCGTTCTCCACAAATCCCAGATCCGCCTTCAGCGAGGGATGCAGCACGTAGACGGCCATAGCCCGCAGAGCTGCTCCCCTGACCAGCGGCTCCTCGTGGTCGTCGCTGGCGCAGCCGCTCAGAAAGGCCAGCAGCGCGGTCCTTTGGCCATCCGATAATCTCTCGAAGCTGAAGGCCCCCATGTTGGACAGGGCGTCGCAGAGGGCGCACTTCAGGGAAAGGCCGGCGGCATCGTAGGCTCCATAGGTGGCGGGCAGCAGGGACAGCCAGAAGGACATCTGCAGCTCCCGTTCCGCTGGCTCAGGCAGCAGCCTACCCAGCTGGTAGCCCACTGAGTCCAGGCAGCGGGCGGCGTAAAGCTTCACATCGGCGGCGGGATCTTTCAGTCCGGCGGAGATCACTCTGGCCAGACGCACCTGGTGGCCTCGAAGCAGTCCAATGTGCGTGGCCATGGCCTGGAGTACCTGGAAGCACTCTACTCGGACAATGGACGGAGTGCCCAGGCCCTCCAGGTACCGGAGGACCTGCCTCAGCAGCCAAGAGTTGCGCGGAATGGATGGCGACACTGTGAGGGTGGGATTCTCCACTTTATGTTGCGCCAGCTGCTCCCCCTCCTCATCCTCCTCAAGTTCCACCTCCGCATCAGAGTCGCACAGCTCTTGGAAGTCATCGACCGCGCTCGGCTCCAATTGAAGGTTTCTCTGGCTAGGAGCGAGTCCCACCGAACTGGCTATTTCGGGCGTAAGCTTTGCCGTGCCCACTAGCATCTCCATGACCAGGAGAGCGGACACGGCCACCGGAGGATCTGCACTCTTGGCCAGCTTCTTGACATGGCCAACAAACTCGTAGACAAAGCCCATTTCCAGCTGGTCGAATGGCGTGGCCTGCACCAAAACGGCCAGACACTTGAGGCACTGCGTCAGCACGGGCGGCGCATACTCCCGCTCCAGGATGGCGCTCAAAGTGCGATAGGCAGCGAGCACGGAGCGGGCCAGGCTGACGGCAAAAGGCGTGAAGTTACTGGGTCCGCGGGAGCATGCCTGGCTCAGGAATCCCTTGGAGCCGTACAGAAGCTGGGCGCCCAGCTGCAAGGCCAGGGCTCGGCAGCGCGAGTTGGTGTCCCTCTGGCCGACAAGCAGCAGGTGGCGACTGCCGCCAGAGTCGTCGTCCGGGAACAGGACGTGCCAGTAGCCGTACAGCGAGCGGCGAAGCAGCTGCTTGGTCAGGGATCCCAGCAAGTGCAGGGCGGATATTCGCACTTTGGCTTGCAGCTGTCGGAGGTGCTTGCTTCCGGACGGCTGATCCGAATCGGAGGGCTGGCAGTTCTCAACCGAGTCTCCAGTCAGACAGCCGTAGTCCTGGTTGCCAACCAGCAGCAGGCGCTCCCGGGGATTGGCCTCCAGGGGCTCACTGACCGCCTGGTTCCGCTGCTTGGCCAGCGATCGCATTTTGCGCACTTTGTTCTTGCGCCCGCAGGAGCGGGACTTCTGGGTGGGCTGCTGCTCCGTCTCCTCGTGCTCTTTGCCGTAAGCGGCGGACTGCTGGGCTGGTGGCAACTTGCAGGGCTTGAGAGCCGTTTTTCCTTCAGGTCCTCCGTACGCCAGATAGCACTGGACCAGGCCCATCAGCTCGGGAACCCGTTCCGCCGCAAAGTCCGGCTGCCTGGCCACTAGCTTCTGGACCAGCTGCAAGCTGTGGGCCAGCATCAGGGCCATCTGCTCTTCCTTGGCGGCTGGCCAGTGGCCCTCGAAATGCATGTGGATTAGGGAGTTGGCGAGGTTCCGGCTGAGGCCGGCTTCCTCCGGCGACTCGTCCAGCTCGGCCAGCACGAGTTCCTGGCACTGCAGGAGGATCAGGGCTGCGTCCACCTCTTTGGCCGGGGGGAACGCGCTCAGTTTAGGCCAGAAATCATTCAGCTTCTCCTTGGGCGTCGTTTTCAGCAGGGCCAGTAGCAGATTAAGAGCTCCGGCAGGCGGCGCCTGCTGCCCGACGGCCATCAGCTCGTCCACCAGCAGGTGCGGCCTCACTAGGATTATCCTTCTGGCCAGGATCAGCTCGCTGAGCCACAGCTGCCAGAGGTACAACAGGTCGTGGTGGCCTCTCGCTCGCACCTCCGCGATCAGCTGCTGCAGACGCTCCGCCGCCACTCCCACGGGAACTCCCAGCTGCTGTTGCAGCTCCCGGATAAGCTGCAAGTGCTCCTGTCGCTTCGCCTCGTCCTGATCAGCCTCAGATTCCGCCTCCAAAAGAGCGTCGTACGTCTCCATTTATTGTAATATTTTAATTTCCTTCTCGAGCAACAACAATGTAGTGTGCCCGGATTCCGTGGAGCTAACTGTAAAAAAGTGTGCTTGTTTAAATCACAAAATAGCAAAGTAAACTATCGTATAACACATTTCGCGATGAATTAGAGGTGGGCTATCGTCAAAACAACTTTAACAGCGCGCGCGAAACTAAATTCAAATTCAAAATATCAAATATCAATAAAACCCAAATAAACAAAACTGAAAACTATATCTATAACTATCAATTTAAAAAATATGTATTAATGTTAAGTATCTCTCCAAGATGCTGTGATATAAATATAAATAAATAGGCAGCACTTAAGTGCGTTTTAGAAAACAGCCATATGTTTAATATGCAAAATATATGTCAATAAACTAAATTCCCCAAAATTTCGAGTCATTTAGCGCTTTGATTAGACTATCAAAGCCATTTTTATAACTAAAGAAAATCTCGCGCATTTTAAGGCATCTTTTTCGATTGTGGCGCTCCTTTCCTGCACTTTTAAAAAGGCCTAGCATACCTATATTTGCCGCATTACTTAAAACAGGTCATTTATTTGTAGTTTGTATGTCTAGTTAATCAAGTACATGTACAAATAAACAAATTATCCTACATTACTAAAAATGTTCGGTAAAAAGGGTCGCATACCATTTCTACTTCACTTTCTGATCCTGTTCCTCTGTTTTTTTTTCTTGTTTAAGTTACTTTGTTTTTTACTCCGTTTAAACTACATTTATCAATACGTAGTAGTGCTATAAGGGTCTTCCTTACACCTAGCCAAAAAAAATAGGGACAATGATGGGGATTTAAGTAATAGAATACAATGTACAAAGCAGTCGAAGCCCGGATTTTCTAGAAAAGGGGGGAAAACCCAGTTCTTTGTGGGGTTTAATAGGGGGTGGGGTGAAAGGGTCATGGGGCATAATATGGACATCATTTTGGCATAAGAAGTCTTTTATGTTGGTTGGGTTTTCCTGGACACTCGCTTTTAGATGTTGCGATTCCGCTGATTGCCGCCTCGCTGATTGCGATTGCTTCCATTGCCGTTTCCACCTGGTCCTCCGGCCGGAAAATTTCCACCTCTGCCTCCCCCGTTGTTGTTATTGTTCCCATTGTTAAAGTTGTTGAAAGGCATGCCCATGTTGCCCATGTTACCCATGTTACCCATGTTGCCCATGTTGCCCATGGGATTCATGTTGCCCATGCCGCAGCCTCCTCCTCCATTGTTGCCTGCTCCGCCCGCAAACGGATTGAAGGGATTGCCATTGGGCACTGGTCCTCCTCCTCCCTGGTTTACTCCTCCTTGGTTTCCTCCATTGCTGCCTGGCAGCATTCCCAGCAATCCAGCTCGCGGAGGTGGCTGATTGAAAGGCGGTCCCAGATTGCCCATTTGCATCATCATTCCGGACATGCGCAGCATCCGTATATTTGGCGGCGGTACCCTTAGCATTTGTGCCAAAATTGGTGGCGGCTGCGATAGATTGGGCAGTACCACACCACCTCCTGCTGCTCCTGCTCCTGGTGCTCCTGCTCCACCACCGGTATTCTCCTCGGGCATCTGCACCACCTGTCCATTGTCATCCACAAAAATGAAGAGCTTGGCAAAGATTTGCTGCAACGTGGGGTTGTTCACTATAAAGCTGACATCAAAAATCTTTGGTGCATCCTCGGGCAGCTGATGAAACTTCTTAAGTTCGGTAAACACCAAGGCGAGCTGTTGATTCACCATGATCTTATTATTGCTGCCCAGATTCTTGTACCAGTTGGAACTCTGCATCAGGCTGCGGATTTCGGAGATTTGTTTGCTGCCACCAGTGGCATTGGTTGTAGTGGATGGAGTGGGATTCGCCGTACTCGCAGCTTGAGTTTGAGCCTGAAGATGGGCTCTCCTGGGATCGCGACGTGGATCTGTTCGCACCGCGGGCTTTTCCAGCTGTAGATTCGGAGGCGGTACACTCATCGATGGCGGTGGCACACTCATCGAGGGCAAATTGGCCAAAGCCGGGGGCGGTGAACTGGGCGTGGCATCGCGTACACTGCACTCCGATTCTGGCGAGGCTATACTCGCTCCGGAACGACCAAAGGAGTCACTCGACAAGGAGCTAGCCCCCGCAGGAGCTACCGAGCCCAAGGGTCCGCCATTATCGGGTATATCGGGTAAGCCCAAAATACGACGGATGCGCGGATCCCGCAGATCCCGCTGCCCCTTGTGCAGAGCGCTGGCTCTGATCTGGGCATAGCTGGTCTTCTCCACGAACACCATCTGCAGCTGCCAGCGGAGCGGAGTGTGCGAGAAGATCGCCGCATCTATCTCGGTGGCGGGCATGTAGTGTATCATCGGTTCGAACGGGAGGCGCATATCTGTATCACGCTGGCGCAGCTCCTCCTCCTCCAGGGCGGGCTCCCTACGCTGGTGCTGTTGCTCCGGCTTGGAGGGATCGAAATCATACATTGAAGGGCGCACATAGAGCGAGGGCGTCGTTGGCGGCAACGCTTCCGTAATGGCAGGCAATTCCGGCATCTCAAGGTCGTGATCCTCCTGCTTGGGCGACTGGGACCCCGGCTCCGGAGTGGGAGTCGGCGTCAGCGAACGCGAATTCGAATTGGAGTTCTCATTACTGGAGTCCACATCGCCATCGCCGCTGTGAGCCTTGAAGGGATTGCGTATGATGTCGCGGTAGAACGCCGCTCTAGCCTCGGGATCCGATTGCTTGTCACCGAACAGAATGCGGCTGAACACATTGGTGGAGGAGTTCCCGCCGCTGGGCACGGGTCTTAGTCCTGATTGATCATCTCCAGCCAATGGCGTCATCTCCTGATTGGGCGACGTGGCACTGGCTGGCAGCAGTTGGCTTGTCGAGGCTGCCTGGCCCAGCATGTTGCTCATGAAGCTGGGCAAATCGAAAACTGAGGGCAAGGGCGCCTCCTCGGTGGCGGAATCCTGTCGAGCGGCCGTCGGCGCCTTCGCCGGCTTTGGTTGCTGCTCCTCTTCGGCGGTGGACTCGTTGCCATCGTCTATGACCAGTTGCTCTTCATCATCGCGATCGTCGTCCACTAAAATGAAATAGAAAAGTCAATTAAAATAAATAAATACTTTAAAAAAGGCAAGAAATCGCGTAATCAGGCTTTATTTAAAATTGAATAGCCTCTGTCTTCGTTTAGAAGAAAGCTTTAAACCAAAGCACAAAAATATAAGATTGTTTAACATCTAAATTGATCGAAGTCAAAACTTTACACAATTTTGACTATTTAAGTATTTTAAACATGTATTTAATTTATTAGGTAAATTAGCTTCATGTAGCTTTTTTGTTCAACACTAAAAGTTTTTTTATAATCCTGACTAAATCATTCAGAACTTTTTGAGATCTCAACGTTCATACGGACCAATTCCTCGGCTAGTTTTCTTGCTCAAGAATATATATGTATACTTTACAGGGTCAGAAAAGCTTCCGCTTACCTATTACATACATTTCAACGAATGCAAAGAAACTTTCATCACAAGATGTTGAGATGTTGTTAGAATGTTTACATAGTCCCTACTTATACATCACCAAAGTGCTTCCCCTATTATATTGTTAAACCAATTGTAAAAATAATCCCATCTACTCACGCGGATCGTTGCCCGAAAAGCTGACATGTGCATCCTTGAGATACTGTGTATAGTCCACCATAATGAAACCATTGCTGTTGGAATTGCTGTTGTTGGCCTCCGTTTCCGGCTTCGCAATGGGAGTGCTACATGAAAAAGTGGAAGTTAACACATTGTTAGTAAGTAAAACTAGTAAGTAAACTTCGGGAGACAGAAGTTTATCGTTAATATGGCAGCCATAGGACACAATTTTTCAGTATTTGTTACAAAACAAGGCAGTTTTAATTATTTTTAAGAAGTCTTTTCTGAAATTAAGGGACATGGCTAAATCGATAAGTCCTGAATCATCAAGAACATAATACTTCATAGGGTCGGAAATGTCTCCTTTGCTGCGTTGTATACTTTTGACTAAAATTATAAAGCCCTCTGCGTTTAGAAACTTTGGCTTTAGAAGCAATGCTTACCTGATCGGCGTTTCCGTTTGGGTTTGTGGCTTGGCCTCTTCGGCCTTGCGCTGAATCTCCCCAATCTCGACCAGCGTTAAGCCCGCCTCAGTTAACTGGCCAAAGGGCACTTGCAGCATTTGCTCCAGGTTCGTGATGCCCAGTTTATTCAGCTTGGCCATGTTTTCGGGACTCAAAACGCTGGTGAGATTGGCCAAGTCCAAATGTGGTGGCAATGATTTGACAGCCGAAGATGTGTTCCCCGTTTCTGATGCAGCTGCTGCTCCAGCTGCCGCCTTGGCTGCCGTTTTATCAGCCCAGCGGGACTTGCGTTTCTTCTCTGGATGCGGTGGATTGATGACCATGTCTAAAAGGGAGGGAATGCAGCCACCGGCCTCAGCAGCCCCCTGTTGTTGCAGTTGGAGCTGTTGCTGTTCCTGTTGCTGCTGCATTTGTTGCTGCTGCATTTGTTGCTGCTGCTGTTGCATCTGCATGTGCTGCTGCTGATCCTGTCGCCTGCCCATTCCCCCACTGCCCATCATGCTGCTCCAGGTATTCTCCCGCTTAAATTGCTCGCACAACTGCTCGTGTCGTCGAGTCATCTGCCCCAGAGCAATGTCCCTCGATATTCGCTTGAAATCGCCGAGAATTTCTTTCGGTGCCGTCTCCATGTGTTTGAGCAGGATGTTGCGCAGCTGTTCGGATAGAGGTTCGCCGTGATGAAAAAGGCAATCGTCGCCGGCATAGCAATCCATGCCCAGGTAATAGTACTTGCAGGGGAACTCCTTGTGCATGTATGAGCACTTGTCCCGCTTGGCGCAGCAATCCATTAGATAGAACTTGCATAGCTCCAGTTTGCGGGGCTCGACACGACCGCAGCCGCCCATCTTATCCTGACCACCGCCACCTCCTTCCCCGGAATCTCGACGATTTCGCTTGGGCCCTGCTCCAACTCCAACGGCCTCATGGCGTTCGCGATCCCTTCGCTTGCGTTTGTTGCTACCCCTTTGCGTATCCTTCTCTCTATCTCTTCGCATTCGACGCCGCTGATTCATCAAGCCCGGGCCAGATGCCGCCTCCTCCTCGGAATAGGAATCGTAGCTGCTGTAAGGATCCTGCTGCGAATCATAGCCTCCTCCTCCTCCACCAGCGCCTGCTCCTCCGCCTGCCGCTGGCCCATCGCCCATATCCCAGTCGGGACCGCTGAATCGTTGAGCACCACTACCTCCAGATGAGGCTGGTGCTACTCCTCCGGGCGGCGGACTGCCGCCGCGTACGTTCATCATCTCATACTCGTCCATGTCCTCACTACCGGCACCGCCCGCCACACCGGACACGTCATCCTCTTCACGGCGTGACCGTTTCTGGAAAGGATTAAGTCGGAAAATTAAGGATTGAACAGATATGTGAATTAATGACATGAAGTTTTAATACAGACAATAATATAATGCATATAAAATATGCAAAAGGACTTCTGGTAAGGATTAAGAGAGTAAGCTCAGGGATTTCGGAAGTGCTTATATAGAAAGGACTTTGTAAGAATGAATCGTAATTGAACATAAATAAAGTGCATAATAAGCGATAGGAGATTAGGGAGATGTACTAATTTCACAATGATTCAAATGGTTTTTCAAGTAGGAACTATTTATCATAGTAAAAAAAAATGTATATAGTAAGCATGGACTTCTGTACGTTGGCCTTATTAAACGAAAGGCGCATTTAAAGAACCCTTCACGAATTTATTTTAAACCAACACACTATGGTTATAACTTAGGAACTCAAGGAATTAAACAAGTATTAAGATTACTTGAATTACCTACCTTCCCATAAGCTTATTAATGGTTTATCAATAATATCATCGAGCTTAAACGTTTTTGATCTCACAATGATAACTACAAACTGGAATCCTTTTAAGAAAACTGTATTTGAATCCCTTAACACTCTTTAGATCCCCCATATAAAAGCAGAGAAGATCACATTGGATATGGTTTTTTACAGAATTTTACGCTAACATAATTTCCTATTAATTAAATGCATATTATGTAATTAGGAGATTTCTACTGGCAAGTCAGTTTTTTATTGCAGCTTTTATCCCGGAAACCTGATCCTTCGATCCTGCTTTATACCCACCTGACTGCGTTCTAAGCAGCTTAGCCAAACCATGCAGCAATCAAGTCGATAGTTAATGATAAACTAAAGGCAGAAGGAACAGGGGAAAAATAAAACAGTTCGTCATGGGATTTTGTCACGGTAGCTAAGCTCTTTCATATAATTTTCAAGTTTAGCATGTTCTCAATTTCCGCAGAGCCACATACAAAAAAAATGTTGAATTGCTAAAAGGGAATTTTCAAATTATCTGGTCATTTAAGATTTAAATGGGAGTGGGAGGTAGAACAGATGGAACAGGTTAATTATGGGGAATGGCATTACCTGGTGTTCCTTGTCCTTCTTTTGCTCACGCTCGCGTTCTTTTTTCCTCTTCCTTCTCCTGCTGCTGCGACTTGGTTGCTGGAGGTGATTTCCGCCGCCGGATAAACCCTCCCCGGATCCCTCCAAAGATACATCGCCCATATCGCCTTGGTTTGACGAACGCATTCTGGGCATTGGCGGTTCTATGCCCTTCTTCTTTAAGGCATTGGCTATAGCATTTTCAATGCTGCTGGCGTGATCATCTATGGATGTTTAAAATGTATCAAAATAATTATCTGTAAAATCCCATCCCAACGAGCTTTTACCTTCCAATGGTCTGGGCTTCTTAGACTTGCTGCTATTGTTATTGTGTACGCCGCTAGAATCGGCCGATAATCCCAGAAAAACGACATCCTCTTCGCTGATTTTGTTCTTCACCTCGATGCCCACAAATTGGACATCATCATCCACTGAGGAAACCTTCTTTTGGACTTTGATCTTCGGTGGCGGCTGCGCTTCCTCCTCCTCGTCATCGTCGTCGATCTCGCCATCCTCTAAGTCCTCCGCTAAATCAATCACCGGCGCATCCGCCAAAATAGATGACATTTTCGTATTTATAGCTTAGATCTCAATGGCGATAAAGCTAGTGGCGAACCCGCGAAAAACGATGCTCTTTTTGCAGAACTGCTGGAACAAAAGGGTGTTTTGTAAAGGTCATGGATAAGGAAACGATCTCAATATAGCCCTATATAGTTATGTATATATATATCGAAATATTCAGAGGTGAATGAGTACTCCCAACCTAACCACATATGCGATCGAAAACTAAAAACTGAATGCTATCTGGAATTGGTTAACACAAAAAGCAAACGTCCCTGATGGGTCGAAATGGAGGTGTGATCTTAGAACTCAAATATTTCGGCTTCGAAAAGGTTTAAAGCTCGTATTGTTTTCAAAATGATTCAAAAACGATTTTTAAAAATTACACATAAATACATGTTTAAATTAATTAAGTTTTGTTTCATTTAACTGAACAAAGGTGTTTTAGATAATATTGTTTGGACTTAAAAGTATAAAGTAATGTTTTTTCAAAGATGTTGAAAATTGTAATATCTTAAAAATTATCGTTTTCTTTGTGCTTTTAAAGAATATACATAGATCAAATCTTTTTAATATTACAAGTTATCGATTATAAGGCCACAGTGAAAAATAATGCCTTTTAAGTGTTACTACTTAAAATTCATATTCCTATAATTTTTAATGGAAATATATTGGTATGTTATTATTGTCGCATTTAAAACTATATTGTCAAATAAGTATTGCCAATTAATTGATTTTAAAATTGACAACGTTTCAGAAATTTATTTATCTAAAATGTACGCAAAAGTCATAATTTAAAGTTCCAAAAATTTCCAAATACTATAAGCTTTTTTTAAAATATTAGACAAGATCAAATTAAATAAAAGAAAACAATTTTCAGAGAGTACGCTAAAAAGCTACAAAAAATATTAAAAATTGATCATGAATTTTACAAATTAAAATATATTTTAAACTATTTAAAGCAACAATTATTGCAAATCTACAATCAAACAATCAAATCTAAAACATTTTTAAAATTAAAAGAAAACTTAAATAATAGCACAAATGTTTAATTTGAATTCTCCAAATTTTGGAAAATTCAAAACATTTCTGAAAACCGTAAAGCAAAGGGCAGCAAAACAACAGCAACAAAAATTTCCAGTGAGTTTGAAAACATATCCAGTTTGTTTTTGTTTGGTATTGTGCGAAAGAGACAACAACCGTTATAAGTCACATGCGCATCTTTGTATTGCGTGTGTTTATATGTATGAGTGTATCTGGGACTTGATGTTTGCATTCAAATTTTTTTACATTTATACATATGCACTTAAGCAAAGTGTGCAATCATTTCAATTAAAAAAATTTACAATAACAAACATGTCATACACATAATAAGCGCGTGTTTCGTTCTGGCTCGCGGTTGTTTATCATGTTGTCTCTATCACACATCCAATACCTAAGCGGGTAATACATACAAACAAGGCAATGTTCCAGTTTGAATGTACTCGCGTATGTTTTGGAAGAAGATAATGTCTTTGTTAGTTAATTATTGTGTTTTTTGAGTGTGTGCTCGAAAAAAAGAAATGTTTAATGTTTACACTTTTAGTTTTTTTAGTTTGATGTAAGAATTTGTTTAAGTGCGACTATTAATGACAGTCGTGTGTATGAGTGTGCTAAACAGCTGCGCAGTTTGCATTTATGTACATACATACAGTGAACGAAAAACCACGCATATTTGTTTTTCTTTTTGCTGGCGTTCCAAAAACAAATGTATGTATGAATGCTTCCAATAACTCGCGCCACCTGTCCCTTTCTCACGCACGATGCGAGGGGGGCGTGGCCGCAGAGGAACATACATATGTATACATACAGACATACATAAGTACATATACAGTGGAGTACATACAGATATTTCGGAACTATGCCAAACAATCAAACATTTCGTTTTTTTTCGATCTTACTTTCTTTTTAGCGTGATTTTACGTGCGATTTCTGTTTTCTTTTTTTATATGGAACATTTACAACTTTTCGGTATTTGTTTATAACATTGCTGTTCGGTTTTCGGTTTATAGGTACGATTTTTTTGGTTCGTTGTTTTGCTTTTTGCTTTTCGTTTTTCCTGTTTTTGTGTTTTTTTGGCGTCGCTGCTTACATAATGTGGAAGTGGTACAGTAGGTGAATAAAGATATATATACTGGCTTATATGACATATAGTAGTGGCCATACATATATTGACATACATCTGATATATACGTATTTGATGACGCAGCGGTTCTTTGTGTACATATATAGGTATGAAAAAATCGTTGAAATTTTCGCAAAATCGAATAGCGACCTTTTTCGACTTGGTTTTTTCTGATACTATATATATGTGTGCGTGCGGCGAGCGCGCGCTGTCTTGCTCGCACCCGCTTTAGCTCGCTCTCGCCCTCTCTGTCTCTCTGCCTGCGGGCCCTGTATCTCAGTATGTCTCTCTCCCTTTCTTTCTGTCTGACTCTGATACGCTCATGGACAGAATACAATATACAAAAACATTAAATTAATAAAACTTTTCGTCTCGTCCAAAACATGAGTAATTTCAGGAGCGTGATTTTGTTAACAGTTCAACAATTCTACTTAGTGTGACCGTTTGTTGTTTATTCGATATTATCCCATGGATGGCCAAACCCTGGGTGTCATCTATCTGGCAACGCCAATTGCCAGATGATTCTTCGATGCGAATGCTGCCAGATACTTTTTAATTTAAATATTTTATAAATTTGAGAGCGCAAAGAGGATTCTCAGTAAAATACCGATGCTTTTCGACATTTCATTTGTTAAAGCTGGCTCGTTACTTTTGGAGTACTTTCTTAATTAAGTGGCACAAAGGAATCATACTGTTTTTATTTTGTCATAGATTGACAGTTAGATAGTATTTTAGTTTTAAAATGGAAATTTTGTTGCTAGCTCCGGCAAACTATAAACTGTTGTACACGTTTTTAAACAGGAACACAACCGTTTGTACGAAAAAGTTGTTGAGAATCATTTACCCTACCCCATATATCAGAATTTCTGATATTTGTCTGTTAAAAAATATAAGGGACCTAAAAAAGGCTATAGATCGGTTACAAATAGCCAAAATAAAAGTTAAAAAAGAAATTAATGTAGAGAAAATATTAGCAAATTTCGTCTTCTTGAGGAATTCATGAATCCTAAATTGAATATTAACTCGAAGGATTTGGAAGTAAACCATATCGATATCGACAACATATATTTCAAGGTTGTTAATAAAACAAGATAATACATATATGTAAGATATATTTGATCAAAAAATGTAAAATACAATCAAATAATAAATAAGTTAAAAATGTACACATATTTTATGATATTTTCTCCTCCCTAATGTCTGGGTTTTGTTTTCGATATTGTTGATCGCACCTAATCAGCTGTGGCGAACCTTCTCTATTGAGGTAAAGAGTTTTTGTTCTTGCGTTTCGGATTTTATCCGAATTCCCAATTTGGTACATTCCCGCATTAAGCCGACATCATGGCCGCATCAAATCTGCTGACCCAACTGGACGCCATCGATCAGAATGATCTGGTTTATGTGGAGCGGGACCTGAACTTTGCCCAAAAGGTAAGACAACTTCCCAAAGGGTGTAGTAAAGCATGACTCAATCGGAGGTTTGAATGTTTCAATTATCTTCTGTACATTTTTTGTATTCTTATATTTAAAAAATACTTCTGTTGTTAAAGTAGCTATGATGTTATTGAACTAATGTTAAATATACTTTAAGCCCAGGGAAAACTGAGAAATCATACTTCCCACATCTTTAAACTTATTAATTCCAGTGATATTTCCTTCAGGTGGGTCTCTGCTTCCTACTTTATGGCGACGATCACTCTGATGCCACTTACATACTGCAAAAACTATTGCCCATGACCCGATCGGAATTCCCGCAGAGCGATCTGCTCCTGCAGTATGCCAAATCCCGGCCGGAAACTTGGAAACGCCGCCTCGTGGAGGCGCTTTGCATCATTGGCGCGCGTCAGGTGCTCCGCAGATTGGGTCTGCGTTGGCAGGAGCTGCGAGTGCACTATTTGCCGCATATCGGTGGGATTACACTGCATGTTCATCCTCTTCTGAAGAGTCTCTATAGGATATGTGAGCAGTTGTCTTTGGCGCAGAGTGGTCGCTTGGTCTTGGATGTTGGCGAAAAGGTGGCGCGACAGCAGGCTGGAGATCCACTCCGTTTTTACGATCCCAGTTATCTGGAGATCTTCCTTCTGGACTGGTTGACAAGGGGATGTATCCGGCTGGGGGACATTAATGCAACGGGCAGCGATGTTCAGCTGCTGATTGAACATTTAAAATTCAACGATTTGCAGGAGCATGCCAAATTGTTGATAGATACTATCAATAGCAATGCTCCAGATGAGAGTCAGGTAGTGGTGGATCCTCCATTGACCATCAAGCGGGAGGTGCAATCGGATAGCCAGCCCGCCGCAGCATACTCTCAACGGCGAAAGAATGCATTGGAGTTGAGTCGGGAAAATGCTGGAATCGCTTTAATCATTAACCAGAGGGAGTTTCATCAGAAAGTCAGCGAAGATCTTACGGTAGTTTTGTTACAATATTAAGTTGAATATCAAAGTAACTCATCTCTCTTCTTGCCCCTCCTCAGAAATATCTTTCGCTCAATAGATTAAGAGACCGCGTCGGCACGGATATAGATAAAGGGCGACTTACGGAGGTCTTCTCCTCGATGGGCTACAAAGTGGAGGCGCACAACGATGTCGATCACTTGGGTATTGTGCAGCTCATCCGCAGTGCCTGCGATAGATCCGTGCTGCTGGATTCACTGGTCGTCTGCATCCTGAGTCACGGTTTCGAGGAGGCCGTATACGGAGCGAATAGCATCGCACTGCGCATCACAGACATCGAAAACGTGCTCTGCAGCTACGAAAACCTTTACAACAAACCCAAGTTCCTGATCATTCAGGCCTGCCAGGAGGAGGCTCCCAACAAGGGAGAGCGTAATGAGCAGGCATTGCCCGTAAGCATTCTTTTTTAGGATTAGTCAGTTTTAAAAGCTCTAATATTGATTACAACCCATATTGTCGAGTCTATTCATTTTCTTATTTTATTTCCTTTTTCAGTTCAAGCTCAATGTAACCACACAGTCACCTGGTCAACACGTTAATATGGTGCGGGCCATGTCCACGGTAAATGGATTTGCTGCTCTACGGCATACGCACAACGGCAGCTGGTTCATTCAGTGTCTCTGTGATGCCATCGTTCAGCATTCAGACAGGTAAATAGATGATGAAACACGACAGGCACCAGATCCAACTAAAATATAATTTCTATGTTGCAAAGTGAGCACATTGCCGATATCCTCACGATTGTCACCAACGACGTGGCCGAAAAGCGGGGAAAAAACGATGAGTCTATGGTACCAAAATTCAACAGTACATTTCGCCAGCACGTCTACTTACCACCTCGCCAGTAATCTTTTTGACTTCGAGCAATGTAAAATAATTATCTACAAACCCCTGTATATTTATACTGCGGTCCAAACCGAAACGAGTTTTTAAAAGTTTTGCAATACTCTCTTTTTAAGAAGCATCCTTAAAATATGTCAATAATATATGTTTTTGTAGGGAAATATAACAACAGGAACAACTCATTAAAACTTAAAACAATTTTAGTAAGCATTTTGATCTATTTAAATTGTTATTTGAGTTATTAGAGTTATTATTATTTTTTAGCGACTGATATTGATCTTATTATTTTTTCGAATAAAATTTATAAATGTATTTCCATTAAAACTGAGGAGTTCGTTAATTGGGCTGGCTTGTTTAAAAATTTGCGTTATTATTATTGGTTGGCTTCAATACTAATTTAGTATTTGACATTAGATATTTCCTAAGAACAAAAAACTTAATGTTACTCTAATATTTAGCAGGGTAATTTCTAGAGTGAATTTATTCATTTTTCTTATGCTTTTTGTTGGCCTTATTGGACTTGTCCTTCTTTTTCGTCTTCTCTTGCTTTTGCTCTGCTGCCTGCTGCACGTCTTCAACTTCCTTAACTTCCTCGGTCACCTGTTCCTCCTCCTTCGCTGCCGTTTTCTTGGGCTGAGGCTTCTGGCCTAGAACTTGCACCTTTTCCAGCAACTTCTGCCGCTTAGGGCCACCCTGGGCCAGAATCTTCTGCAGCAGTTTCAGCTCTTTCGGACTGTTACTTTCAGCCTCTAGTTGCTCCACATATCTGGCCAGTTGCTTTTCGAATTCCTTGGAGGCCGAGCTGTTATCCTTAAGAGCAGTTTCGAGTCGTCGGAATTGTTCACTTAGAAGCTTTAAGATCTGTGCCCGCCGAAAGCTGCGTGTTTTCTTCGCATCCAAATGGGAGGCCAAAACAACGGCCAGTGGAGCAACTCCCTGCCATTGACCAGACTGGAAAAGTGCCTCAAAACTGGCCAGCGACAAGCGACTACGCCGATTGGCCACCCACATCTGCAGGAACTCGACAAGCAGAGGCCAAACTGCACTGTCTTTGGGCTCCTTATCTGCTGATCCCTGGCTGACCAGATAGGCAAAGCACTTATCCCGCCAAATCGTGACCTCTGCCTTGGCCTGTCGGTTGCTAGGTTGCTTGCTACCCTCTTGATCCTCTTCCGACTGCTCATCCGCAGTGGACATCAGCTGCTCAATGGCCTCCAAAATTGGTGCCTTGTCTTGCTTCGGCTCAAATTCAATATTCTTGGCGAGCAGCTTCTTGAGCAACTTTAAACTGGCTTCGCGCAAGGATTGCAGTTTGGTATCGCCGCTGCAATGACGGAACACCTGAAAGACGCAGTGCAGCACGTCCAGGATCACCGGTTGGATTGGTTTCTTGGTGGCAAACAGCTCCAGCAAATCTAGGGCGCGAATGCGGAAATGTAGAAGACTAGTGTTATCAATGCGTTCCGATTTGGTGGGCCGTTCCTTGGCCTGAGCTTTGCGCGACTTTGGTCGGAACAACTGGAAAGATTGCTCCAGAGCAGCATTTAAGCGTTGACCCTGTTCCTCGTCTACATCGTTCCAATCCACGCTGCTGGCACCATCATCATCGGCATCGCCGTCGTTGACTAATGCCTGACGAACGCTCTCGCGAATCTGGGCCAAATGGGACTCCTCATCGCCCTCCTCATCTTCATCATCCTCCTCCTCATCATCATCATCATCGCCCTCTGAATCTTCACTGGAATCTTCCGGTTGCTGCTCCTCCTCCATTTCCTCATCGCTATCCTCTTCGCCCTCGTCTTTTTTGCTCAAGGGATTTCTGTTCATGTTAAGCACCTCGAGAATCTGCTCAAGGTTAGACGCCTCCAGATGGGGAATCAATGCCGTGGCCACTAGGTTGACAAACTCACGCCAGAAGTGGCCCGTTTGCAAGAGCAACTGTAGCAGGGCATCTGTAAGCACATCTTGCCATTTAAGGTCCTCGTTAGCCTGAAAATTACATTTATTATTATTATTGTGGTTTAGTTAATCTTTGGGTTCATCTTACTTTTTTCTTGCCCTTCTGCAGAGCATTCTTCCGGCAGATGATCAGATCCTCCAACACGGTAACGGATAAAGGACTCCTTGTGCACAACGCCAAAGAAACAAACAAAATAAGAGCCTCAAAAGTTTGGCCGACGACGTCTGATTCCTCACTGGGCTTAGTCAGCAGCTCCTCCACCTGTTTCCAGGCCTTTCGCAAACCCTCATTCATTGGTGAACGTATTTTGCTTTCCACATCCGGTTTAAACAACTCTTTTTTAAGATAACTTAAGGTTTTCTGGAGCAACTTGCACAGAGCTGGCAGACCCGAGCACTTGTGCAGCAATGAACCGAAAAAGATCTCCTCACAACGTTCCGAGCACTGACGACTAAAAGCGCTTGCGTTGGTGGTTTCACATGGCTTCTTGTCGACATCCAAATGGAACACGGCAGCGAGCAGGAAGTGGCGCAACTGCTTTTGACGCCATTTGCCCTCCTTGTCGAGTTTAGGGTGCTGCAAGATCAACTGCATCTGGTTGAGGCAGTGCACCCTGCTCACTCTATCCTCATCCGCCAATGAGCCCAGCAGATTGCTATAGTAATCGTAGAGCTTCTGGAGACTCTCAACGCTCAATTGATTGATCAACTGCTGGCTGAAACGTGGCAAGCTTATGACCGAATCCAACTGCAGTCTCTGCTCCAGCAATCTAAGCAGCAGTTGCAACTTGATCTCCTCGTTTTGCAACTGTTTCTCGAAACTCAAAACCAAGGATCCCTCGAACTTGAAGCAAATCTCGCGCAGCTCCTTTTGGGAGGGTTTTTTGGCCTCGCTGTTGTCCCCTTTTACGGCCGATAATTCCTGCAACAGGAATTGCACACATGTCGGTTTGAAAATATCCAAGATGGTCTGTTCGTCTTTTTCCTTAAAGTTGAGGAGTAAGTGACCCAGTACTTGAATCACACCAGCCTTGGCAGCATTTAGTTTTAGTGGTTGCTTCGAATCGACATACTGCTGCCAGGCGATGAGTGAATCTTTACCGCCCTTTTCCAGGAATGCTGCTAATCTGGCGTACACGCCATCACTGTGAATTGTGGAGCCAGAGTGGTAGAGCTCGAAGAGCTGTCCGTACAGTGGTTTCTTGGGCCACAAACTAGCAAGGAGCTGCTCTCGTCCCAGGATCGACGGATAGGTCAGGTGCACCGCCAGCAAAAGATCGCATGTGTTAAGCTTTAAGCCACTTAACGGCTTGTTTAGTTGAGGTTGTAGGAGCGGCCACACGTACTCCTCGAAGTTGGCAGTGGAAAGCTGTGAAAAATACAAAAGAAAGCATAAGCAACCAGCTCCTGAAGATGTCAACCACCCACCTTTTTGAATGAGTCTGCAAGAATATCCGCACACAAGGACACCAGGTACTCCCTGCCCTTAAGCTGGGCCACCAGGATCTCGAATACTGCACCCACTAGTTTGGGCTTGGCCTCGGCGAACTGCGGAGTCTGCAAGATGCAAAAGGCGGTGATCAACTGACCCACTGCGGCCAAGGAGTCCTCTTTGCCTCTCTGCTGGCTACCAACGGCCAGATCACGTTTTAGGGTCTCTAGAACCTCCAGAGCATCGATGCTAGGCACGGCGCTTAGGATGCAATGTATATAACTGGCGGCCAGGGCAACTGCCTTCAGGTCATCTGCTCCCGTAGAGCGAATCAAGCGCTTGAGCACATAGCAACTAGTGGCAGTTCGCTGGGAGAGGGAAAATTAAGGAAAAGGTATTTGGAAAAAAGTTAAAATACCTTATAGAGCACTAACCTGTTCCGCATTCGTATCATCGCGAAGCAGCACCACCAGGGAATTAATCATCTTCTGGGTCAGTGGACTGGCTTGGATCTTTTTAAAGACCACGAAAACGGCTTTATTGATTTGGGACACCTTTATATGTCCATTGATCAGGGTGTTCTCCTTTTCCTCGGGCTCTGATGGCTTCTCCTTCTTAGATACCTTCGGAATCTTAGCCGGTTTCTCTGTGACCACATCCTCCTCGGATTTTATCGATTTGGGCCGTTTGCGTTCCTTTTTAACCTTTGTTTTAATTGTTTCGCCATTGCTTAGGCTTTTATCCAGGTTGCTCTTCATTTTTATGTAATATTTATAGCTATTTTCAATTGATTTCTTTCTGTTTAATATCAACACGTGCTCCGCGTGTTTTTAAATTTTGAATAGCTATCAGTGCTGACAAGTCAGCTATTTTGAAAACAGTGCTGTCTCGGTTGTGAGCAGGTGCGTGAAATTTTAGCTTTTTTAAAACTGATTTGGCTATGATTTGGTCAAATAAATAAATTTAAATTGAAACTCTTTGGCGTATTGTCAATCGAAATCATAAAATATGTCCTGAAAATATTGAAATATGTAAATTTTGTTTCATTTAATAGATGGAATTGCAAGATATAGAAGTCGCTAACACAGATAGCTAGGGAACTTGCAGACAGTGACGTAAACGATATCTATCGATAACTCGAGGCTTAAACTGCTTGATTCAAAAACCCAAAATTCTGTAAATTAAAAAATGTTTTTTCTTTATTTTTTATATTGTAAAAATAACTTTTTTTAAATTATTCTTAAACTGCAAAATTTATAAATATTTTATAAGGGCTTAAGCTATTTTAAAACAAAATGCAGTATCACGAATTAAAAATCACTCAACAATACAGTCTTAATTATTATTTATTATTCCTAGACTCCTGAAATACTAATTCAAAAATTTGAGTTCTTGAAATCTGTGTATAATATAAGTTAAAACCATTTTGCATTTTTTTTTACGTCTTTTATTATAATAAATCTACAGTTGTAGGGTTCTAGGTTAATAATACATTTAAAAATTGCTATTATTCATAGATATTCAAGATTCGTTCACTATGTTGGTTATTGTTTTTTTTACTATAATTGCATTACGTATAAATAAATGCATCGAGATTTATCAAGTTATTCACTGGCGTAATATATGGCATTGTTTGGTCGGATTGAGATGAGCATATGTAGTATATGGATTAAAAAATACTCAAAAAAGTATTGGGTTTATGTATAGTTATATATATACAAAATCAACTTTAAAGTGGGTCGATTGTAACGAAAATATTGATGAATATCAGAAAATAATCCCACAAACTATCGACTATCAAATCAATAAAGCATTTTGGAAAGCATATTAAAAAATATAATACAAATATTAATTTCTCATGGTTTGTTGTCTTTTGAAAAAGGGTCAACAAAAATATTGCACGGTAAAAATTGCAAACACAATGTATACAAAAAATCGAAAATGGGAATATGACACATGGAAGCCTCACTTGCTATAAGACTGTCATGCCTTTTTTAAGATAATGTATAAATATTTGAAATATAATAGCAAGGTCAATGGGTAAATTTATAATCAAGCAGTCAGAATTTTTTTCTGGTGCAAGAATTTTTACGAGCTAATCATGAATGAGTGGTTTTATAAAACTAGGGATTCTGAGAGTATGCGACATTGTCAACATTCAGGTGTGATCGTGGGGCCCGTAAAATTCGGGCTGACCCGGATCTCACGTCGCCCAACGCGACTTTTGTAGCTCGATTTGACCCTCCAGTGTCTTAGCCAAATATATGACCAACAGCTGAATGAGGGCAATAAACAGGGCATTACCGGCAATCATGTACAGATTGTGCTCGGCCTGAACTCTCACAACCTCGATGCACCCGCTGGTCCAGATCCGCTTCCTGGCCTCCGGCACGGGAGCCTCTTGGACGCCGTAGCCGCACATGATATTCACCAGACCGGAGGATATATCGGTGGAATTGATGCAGCAACTGTAGGGCACTCCACATTTCTCCACCGACGGCGAGCTGCAGTTAAAGTACTCGTTTTTTCCTGCCAATAACAAAAAATTAGTTCTTATAATTCAAATATTTAACAATTCGTAATAATCAAAATATGTGAGGCCTTGGTTGTCAGCTTAAGGATATGACTCATATGTTTCTTATTTTAGCGAAGCAAACATTGTAGATAAAATATATTTTCTTGACACAAATTTGTCTGCCTTTTGTTGCTCTATTTTAATAGTAGAGTCCGAAATTAAAACTTTAATTATTAGCACCACTTAAGGTATTCAAACTAATGTTATGGTCCCTTATGATCTTCTTTTAACTCACTCCAATCCTGGTAGCCCGAATTACTGAGACCGCAGCACTTGAACTGCTGTTGGGCAAAGTCGATGAAGTTCTGCAAGTCCGGATCATCTCGATACGAGTGGATGATCTTGTCCGTGAACTGTTTTTCAAGAAAGGTGTTCATGTACTGAGGAAAAATAAAGCAAATTATGGCTGTTGGCGGAGGGAGAAAGTTAGTAATGGCAGTGCAAGATCCCTATGCCCATGACTCACCGATGGCCATTTCCATGAGGAAAAAGAGCAACAGGCACATGGAGTATAGCTTCAGCAAGAAAGTGTTCTCCCGCAAAGCGCCCACACATCCAGAAAAACTGACCAGGAAGATGACCATGCCAGATTCGATCAATACCAGGGAGATGTTAAGGAACACATCGTAGAAGTTTTCCAGCCGCACCGACCCGTTGGCCTCCTCCCACTTGTCCTTAAAGGCGTAGATTCCGATTCCCAGGAGCAATCCGCCAAATAACCAGAACACAAAGTTCAGCATGAAGATCATGTATTTGACGCACTGGCTCACATACGTGAAATGATGCGGATGCATTACCTCGCGCATCTCGATCCCACTGTATCCACGAACCCCGGCCACGCCTCCGCCTCCGACACCGGCCCCCTGATAACGGTAGTTGCTCATCCCCAGTTTCTATATCTTTTTACTTTATCTCGATATGTATCTGTGTCCTCACACGATTTCACTTTTCTTGCAGCCAACCCACAGACTAGTTTATCCACACTGACATTTAATTTATTTATTGTTTATTTAATCTCGCTTAGCCTACTAACATTAACATTGCACGAAAAAAATTGTGTAAATTGTACAGAAGCAATGAAAACAGTCGGGTGTATCGGTTATCGATAGCAGGGAACAGCTGATTCGAGACAAGAACACTAGACAGCAAAACTGTGCAACAAGTCAATTAAAGTTTTGGATTTGGTATTTTGATGTTTGAGTATAAAACCACCGCTTAAGCGTATACAATTAACTACTTGTTAGTCTTAAGAATAATTTCCCAGCCATTTATTGTGTATAAAATTTGATCCGATCCTCACTTGGATGTTGGCCAGTGTAATTCATCCGCTATCATTGCAAGCCACTTAAATTGGAAATAAAACGCCCGCAAAATCGTTTCGGCTCTGACCTTTGAGCTGGAACAACGTCTGGATTCGTAAGCGCTATCTATGAATCAGCCGATAGAACCATAACACTATGCAAATCTCCGGGAAGAGAGGACTACGAAGTGGAGGCCCCTATCGGGAATCGATAAGCAATCGGCGGTGCTGATACTACAAAAATACAAAATACTTAGCTCACTTAATTGCTGCCCGTCGGCTGGGTGAAGTTTCAGTTCCATTTAGCGATCCACCATGAATTTCCTGCTGCGCTTCGTGGTCTTCTGCCTGGATCCCTTGGGACTGGGACGCCGCTTCTTCATCCGCCCGGCCTTGAATCTCGGTTGGAACGTGTACGATCGCGTCCGGAGCAAGGCGGACGAGAAAGTGGGCACGGTGCGGGAACTGGTCCTCCGGTTGGGCCTCATCGCCTTCGCCGTGGTGCTCATTATATGGCTGGCGGTCTTTATGTACGCCGCCTTCTACTACGTCTACATGCCGGCAATATCACACACACGCCCCGTTCACATGCAGTTCAAGTGAGTACTGGTCGAACCTCGGTGGGATTCGCAGGGATCTAAGAAAATAGACAATTCTTTCAAATACTGTATAATATAAAAATCGAGTTCTAAAGCTCCTTATTTCGGTTTTTAGTTATTTATGGATCAGAGAATTTTAACATTTAAAAATTGGTTTACCTACCAGTTCCGATTTTGTATAAATAAATTCCCGTGCATGCACCTCATATAGGTGTTATTCATATCTAAGTACTACTACTCTATAGATTGCTAACCTAATAAATAGTAATCTTAGTTAAACTAATTCTACTGTGATAGGGAAAATAATAAACTTTGAACAGCTGTTATTAAGAAAAAAAAGTACAAGTATATTATTTAAAGCTCTTATTATCAGACTGCGATCCCCGAATAAGATGTGGCTATCTAAATTACCAGGTTCATAAATATATCCAGCCATAATCAATATATTTAAGTAGTTCTGTTTGCTACGATTGATTATTGCAACCTAGTTTTTGTGTCTTTTACCAGCAATGTTGTTATCTGGCTTTTCTCCAGTTGTTTGATTCATAGTTAACCATTCTGTACTTAGTACCCTGTTCTATAAAATTATAATTATACTTACATATATTGTCGTTTGGTCTTCTGCAGAACCTGTTTAGAAACCAGCACGCCCTGCACCTTTCCCCATGCCCACGTCTCGCTGACGAAGAAGCAACAGCTCCTGATGGTTGGCCAGGCTTATAAGGTGATCGTGAACATCGACATGCCGGAATCTCCCCAGAATCTGGAACTAGGTATGTTCATGGTGTGCGCCGAGATGAGGGACTACGATTCGATGCTGAGGGGTCACTCCTGTCGCTCTGCAATGATGCGTTATCGATCGCCACTGATCCGCATGATCTCCACTTGGGCGTTGAGTCCGCTTTATGTGCTGGGCTGGAAGGAGGAATTTCAGCAAGTCCCAATAGAGATATTTTCACGGTATCTGGAGGAACGGCAGCATCCCATTACGGATGTCTATGTGGAGATACAATCTCAAAAGATCCAGTTCTATACGGTGACACTGCATATAGTGGCCGATTTTACCGGTCTGCGGTACATCATGTTCAACTGGCCCGTGCTTTCGGCCATAGTGGGTATGTTGGCAAATATCCACCGATTCCCCACCTCACAAACCCCGCTAATCCTGTTTTTTGTTTTCCAGCCATTAGCACCAATCTATTCTTTATACTGGTCATCTTTCTGCTCAGCTGGTACCACTGGTCCGACGCAAGCTGGCTGCAAAGCAAGTACTACCGGATCACGAAGTCGCTTGAACCCCGCGTAGGCCTCTTCAAAGCGAGCAGCCTGCGCGATGAGGATGACTTTGTTGCTTATGGTGATAAGTCCGATATTGCGGAAGTCGGCGGTGATACACTGAGCGATGCTGATGCCGATGATCTGGTCTTGGTTAAGAAATCTGGCAGTGGCAAACCGGACTCCCAGGACGCACTGCGTAAGCGTCGTCCGAAGAAGACCACCGCGGACCACTAAGATAAGGGGGGATGGGGAAGGGGAAAGGGGGGCTGAGATAAAAGAAGGACCACCATTTACCACCGAAGCCGAGACCACCGCTTATGCGACGCTTGAGCCAAAGACAAAATCGATTGTAGGACTAGGTTAGTTAACACAGCTGCCAAATGAAGTATTCCGGCGGATTTATCCATTAATGTTCTGTTTGACCTTTAAGCAGCCCTATCGGTATAACATTAGTTAATTTAAGTGATGGATCTTTTGTATGATTAGAAATTACAGGTGTTATTTCCTTTCCCTTTGCTATTCCAATTGATTTCAATTTTCGTTTTTAAGCAGCTTTTGCAGTTTGGGGATATGGTAGATTCTTAACTACTGATTTGTACTGGTAATTAATAAACAATAATGTTAAGCAGTATACATTCCATATAAGTTGAGAATGCGTAAGCCTTGAGAAACCAAGGTTGTCTGCACAGTTACTAAATCTTCTAGTTAGCTTTATTTAATCAACGAATTTAAAAAGCACCTGTTTTAACAAATATTAAACTTTTTCTGTTGAAATTTAGAATGTTTACTTTTTAGGCGTCTGCTTCACGCTCGTTCTTGGTCTTTCCTTTTCCCTGTCCTCCTTCTGCCTCCTCAGGCACTTCGGGCTCCTGGGTTTCCGGATGAACTTGCTCGTCTCCATCATCGTCGAACAGAAACATGCTGAGTAACGTTAACTGGGTGTTCAGGATATTGCCCACATTGATTATCCTCTCGCCACGATCTTTATACGCCGTCGCGTCATCATCCGATTGTCGTTGAATCACTTGATAACCCCGCCGCTGCCGCTGTTGCATCAACCTCTTGTCTTCAATTGCATTCAGTTTCCGGCGCACATTCTCCGCCACCGTGTGGTTATTACGGACATAATAACGCCGGAAGCAGGGCAGATCATGGATAAATCTAAAGAATCCCGAGTACTCTATGCGCAAAAACTCAAAGAAATTGATCCGATGCTCCCTCTCCGAATCCCTCTTGGTCTTGGCAATGGTGAAGTAATCATTGATCAAGGACACAAAGACGTTGATCAGGAGCACTATGATGACGAAGGCCAAAACACCGTATAAGAGAATACCCAACCATATGCCGCCGTAGAATAATTCCGTTGGCTTCACCTGGGCACTAAATCCAAAGGAAAAGCACATGCACATCACCATGCTCTTGACGAACCTGTTAAAGTTGTTGCTATTGTTACCGTTTATGGTGACCACGGCGAAGCAGAAACCCATCAGGAATATAACGATGGCAATGGCCGTGCTGGCCACCGCAGCCCAGGCCAAGTATAGGGTCCTCGTGAACAGCTCAAAGACGCTGGAGAACTGCATGACCCGCCAAAGGCGCAACGTGGTCATACATATTAGAAAGCCAATCGTGATCGTGGTCAACTGATGCATTCGTGACGGTCGCCGAAAGTCAATGAACTCCATCTTACTGGCACCCTCGACCTTCTTCATCATGTTGGCCACCAGAGCCTCGCGGAGAACCACCAGTACGACCACCATCACGTTTAGCAGAAAGATAAAGAGGTCCAACTTGTTCCAAATGCTTTTCAGCAAACTCGGCTCGTACCACAATTTGACGGTCAGCGACTGTGCGAACTGGATAAAGACCACCACATAGATAAGCAGCGCCAGCAGCCCCGTCAATGGCATCTGATCCACGTGCTCCAGGAGCTTGGCGCTTTCCACCTGAACGTCCGGCACTGTGCCGCCAAATGGTGTCTTCTCCAGCCGCAGTGTGCAGATGCTGAACAGATTCACGTCCACGTTGTACAGCGTGAAGTCGATGAACACCGCCGAGGTGTTCAGTGTCAGCCAGTGATATTCGCTGAGGTAGTCCAAAACCTAAGATGTATTTTGTGCAAAGAATTGTTAACAAATATTTTATGGAACAGGAAACCGAAACAATCCATTTGTGGAATGTTTTTAGTGGGTCCCTACTCAATTTACCCACCTTCATGCTATTCGCCGTGCTCCTGGCCAGCAGACTGACGTAGCCCAACAGCTCCGGATAGCTGTTGAGGTAGCCCACATGATTGAAGTTCATGAGCAGGCCGTCCAGGAACTCGAAGCTCACCGTGATGGGTATCCAGGGCTCGTAGATTCGCCAATACTTGTCCGCATAGTGCAGTCGCCGGTACGGCAGCTGCCACTCGGGCATGTAGTACATTTCCGAGAACACCGGCTTACCCAGGCCGATATTCGGATCGACCACTCGCAGTTGGCGCAATCGAATCACTCCCAGGAGCACCGTTTGCTCCGCATGAACCCAACCGGGGGCAGTGCCTCCACTTGAATTCGAATTGAATGCGATCACCAGCGTGGACTCAATGAAGTCGTACAACTGGTTCAGAAAGTATACCTCCTTCAGACCCGTGTAGTCCGTGTGGTTGTTCATAAACAGAGTCTTGATACTGCGGGTATTGTGATAGAGGGTTTCATCTCGCGTGACCAAAACCAGGCACATCAGACAGAGGAAGTACTGCCCATAGGTGAAGAGATCGTGGGCAATCAGCTTGTACTGCTCGTTGAGTTTCCAGTTCCTGTACTGCGATGACAGCCCCAAATTGGATCTCTGGCTGCTCAGGCGTTGCTTCAGGAAGTCAAAGCGATCGTGCTCCTTTCCCTTATCGCAGCGTGGCGGTACGTACACTTTGGGCGGCCAGAATGTCGCGTCGATCGACTGGATCACAAACTTGATGGGATCCCCGATCAGGTACTGGAACATCAGGACTATCACCATGCTCACCAACATGGTTTTGAACTTGACCATCTCGTGCTTAAAGCCGGCAAATACAGCGATTGCAGTCATGCAGCATATAATTATACCGATCGTTATCGCGAACATCGCTAAATGGGATTTCTTCACATTCATTTCTGCGGATTTTTATAGTTCCTTGGCGAATGTACTTTTTGTTTTGCTTTTTAAAATTAAGGGTTGTTGATTTATATTAAAACAATCATGTGGTCAATATATGAACGCCTACTATATTAGGGTTTGTAAAGGATAAGCTTTAAAAATTACAGTCTCCCAGTTATTAGTCTACAGTTTTCCCATTGCAAAAAAAATCCTCATAGATGAGACACGCATGCCAGCAAAAAAAATTTCTCGTCAAGCTAGAGTTAAAATGATTATTTATTTTCCTCTTAGTACATTTTGCAATTTTGATATTTTAACTTGCGTTTGTAATCCGCAAATATTTGAAAATACATATTTTCACCGTTTCATTTCCGGCGCTAACCGACCGTCGTTATTTTGACAGAAATGGCTAATTTAGCGTATTTCTCAGGCGCCGCGGTATTTGTTCGCCATCACGCGTTGGTCATATTGACAGCAAAGTAAAATAAAACGAAAATAAGTAAATTTAATAAAATTTCTTGCGAGCGAGTTGCGAAGATGACGAGCGCCTAGCGAGATTGTGCAAGCAACCAATCGAATCGAATCGAAACGAACGAACGGAGGAGCAGCTGTCCGCCAGTTGGAGGAGCTACTAGGAGCCGGAACGGGAGCGATGACGATGACCGCCTCGGATAAATACACGTACCAGCGGACCGTGCTGTGCCTGGCCCGCGTTCTGGCGGGGATTCAGCCGACTCCCTGGGAGAAGGTACATGTCCGGTAGCGTCCAGTGCTTCTGCAAATCCGCCAGTTGCCCTGGCAATCGACTTTTCGCACTGACCTTGAGCGGCGGCCGTAAAACAGACATGCGTGGGTGGTCAAGGGGGCGGTGGTGTGGGGCGCCCTTACGTTTCGCGAAGACCCCACACACAATGTGATTTTTACAACTAATTACTAACTACACATATATGTTACCACTATTTTGTTCTACAATCTGTTTAAGTTTGATAATCGTAAATTAAGCTATTGCCATATAAAATGAAAATATGTGAGATGTGATGATTCACAGTTACTTTCTATAGAGGATTGCATACACTTTTCACAAAGTTAAATAAGAAGATATCTAGTTAAAACCTCGTAAGCATGGCGAACTACTTAAGTTTATTAAAAGGTTTCATAAAATTGGATTTAACAGCACTGTAATATGACTAAATTCATAATCATATTAGCTTGACCTTAAAATTAACATACTCTCGAAATATAAAGTTCATTTGGTGCTGCAAAGCATTTTCAGCTTTATTGCGCGTAGACCTACAGTTCTAAAAAATATAATACGCATTGTTGGTGCCAGTAGGTCTGGGTTAGGTTAAGTGAATGACGTGATACACCTGTCTTATATATGGTTTCTTTTTGCTTCCCCCCACAGGTGCAGACCCTGTTCCGCTATTGCCCACAGGAGAATGCCGCCGGGGTCTTTTGTCTGGACACGCGGGCCCAGGATGCGGTGATCGCCCTAGGAATATACTATCTGGAGAGCGGATGTCAGCACGAAGGGCAGATTGTGCCCTACTTACTCCGCCTGGCCAAGTGTCTGCCCAAGGCCGTGTGGATAGACGATGCCCGGAGCAGCAAGGTCGAACGTAAGTCCAAGTCTGCTAATTGAGAAACCCACCAATTGGTATCGCAATTTTCCACTGTACATTTTCCAGGCATTCGCATTCCGTCGGCGGAAAAGTTTAGCTTCTGTTTGAATACCCTGCTCTCTGATATAGCGGCCAAATGTCCCGATTCCCGCGAAGAGATCATCCTGAACCAAGTGGAAACGCTTAGTGCTCTGGCCAATATTGTGAAGTCCAGCAAGGACAGCAGCTCCGCACCGCCTCCCATTATCCTGTGCAAGGCTACGGTGCCTTTGCTTTTTGGACTGGCTCGTTCGATGGGTCGCTATGCCAGCAATGATCCTCCCCTGCTGTGTCGCATATTTCCGCCCGAGTTGCTGCCCATCCAGAGAGGAGTTGGCCGTGATGGCACCGGATCATCGAGCAGTGCCAGTGGCACATGCGGCGGATCCTTCAGCAGCAGCGAACGCTTGGCTGGCACGCATCAATTCCGACCCATAATACCGCGCTCCATGTCGGGCAGCTTGGCGCAGACTCAAAATCCCGGCCATGACGATGCCCGGCAGCGGTGTTCGGCCGGAAAGCACCAGAAGCCCTCGCTGCACAGCTACTTCTCCGTGCCATATGATCCACGGACGCACTTCTTCACGCGATACGGCTCCAGCTTCAATCAGTTCCCCAACATGCGCGTCTGCGAATCGCCCACGAAGGGTGGCCCACGACCCTTGTATCGAGTGCCACCGTTTCCCATCCAGCATCTGCAGACCATATTTGCGGTGTCGAAGAAACTGCTGACCAAGGACACGCTGGAGCATCTGGATGAACAGGCCAGCGATATCTTCTCGCTGCACCAGATCAAGGGCTACTGCTACAAAAGCTTCTCGGAAACGCTGAACCTGGTTCTGGTAACCCTGCTGCGGGAATTGCTGCAGCATCAGGTGGACCTGCCCACGCCATTCACCAAAGATGTGCAGGAGTTTGTCAAGAGGCTGTTCCTCAACGGGCAGACGGAGCTCCAAAACAAGCAGCAGGATCAGGAGCGGGAGCGACGCGAGGAGAACGGAATCGCGGTGATCAACAAGTACAAGGTCAATGTGATGGCCAATGCGGCGTGTGTCGATCTGCTGGTTTGGGCCATTCGCGATGAAACGGGTAAGCGAAAATCCTCTACGTGGATCGACATCCTCCAGCTCAACGCTACGGCATTAATGCAAATGCAAAACGACTATCAATTAGCTATATATTATATGTATTGCAAATCAGATCGAAAGAGAGAGAGAGGGAAGTCGCTCGGTTGGCAGTTAGAGGGGGATGGCTGAAAAAATTTGAATTATATTTTATATTAATTAGTTCTTTTGTATAAACCAATCGGTTTTATTTTCTCAATTCGGAAGACTCAATATCTATATCTTGAGTTTTTAACCATTTTGAAAGACATGATTGGAAATCGATCTTCTTAAAAATCTCCAAAAACCAAATACAATTGAATTATATTTATATATTTATTTCGTATTGCCAAACCTCTTTATTTAATATATGGTAGCTAAAATAAAGGTTTTAAGCTAAATGTTACCCCTCTCTCTTTCTTTAATAGATTTTCAGTTATTTCCTTTAATTTCTTTTAGTTTCTTATAGTTTTTTTTGTTAATTTTGTTTTTTTGGTGGCCGGAACCCGGAATATGGTTCAGTTGACGTCGACTATAATGTGCCATCCCTGCAGAATGGCTTGCAATTTTTATTGAAGAAAGGTCAAGAGCAGTGTAATCCCAACTAGTTTCGATTTTTATACCCACAAAACTGATAGTTGAGGGGGAAACTACAAGTAAAATGTAGAAATTGAATGTGTTGTTGCAAAATTACCTTTACTTACAGTAAATTTTTCAAATCTTTAATTTATTTGGCTTATACAGAAAATGCGCCCAAATACAAAACTAAATTCCTGCGAAATTTGTTAAATAAATACATTCTTATACCAATTTACGGCCCTCTCTATGTGGTTTCCCCTCTTAAATGGACTACATTATATTTTGGTTTTGTGGTTTATTGTTATTTGCCTGGCCTTCGTTCGCTGCATGCTGCAACAGACCCACATCCTCCTCATCCTCTTTTTGTTCCTTGTTCCCTTGTTTGCAAACTGCTAAATTGTGTCATTATAAAGTACTAATTAATCTCTGCACATCGTTCCAAACAGAGGCGGATAAGCTGTGTGGCCGGCTGTCGCAGAAATTAAATCTGGAGCTCAGTCACAAGATCGTGATGGATCACATGCCGCTGCTGATGGTTTGTCTGGAGGGTCTGGGCAAGCTGGCCCAAAAGTTTCCCAACATTGCTGGCACCTCGATTTCGTATCTGCGTGATTTCCTGGTGGCTCCCAGTCCGATCCTGGGCAAACTTCATGACCACACCATGCAATCGTTGGCCCAGCAGAAGAAGGAAAAGGAGCTGACGCCATTTAAGATCGCGGTTCAGCACTCGGACTCGCCGTCGGCGGTCGTAATCTACGGGGAAAATCAGAAGCCACCGGGCAGCGGAACTGGACGAAGTGGTCATGCTGCCTTCGAGGCTCTGCGGGATGCGGCCATCGAGAACCTATCGATCGCCTTGAGAGCCTCCCACACCCTGGACCAGTTTTGTGTCCCAGCTTTGGTGGCCAACGTATCCAACCGACTGTTTACTGCCGAGAAGTCAGGCAGGTGGGTCAATAAGCTAAGCATCTCAACGGGTATCGATTGCATATCTAACCCATCGCACGTTTCAGTGAATCGCAAGGTGAATGCAGCAAATCCAACCTGGTTAGTCTTAACATCATTGTGATGCTGGGCCATGTGGCCGTGGCGCTAAAGGACACCTCGAAGACCACTCAGAACATCCTGCAGTTCTTCATCCAGCGATTCTGTAAAGTGCCCTCGGAACAGAACGCCTTGATAGTGGATCAACTCGGCTGCATGATCATTTCGCAGTGCGAAACCCATGTCTTCGATGAGATCATGAAGATGTTCTCCCGCGTCACTGTGCAGTCGGCATCGTTGGCCTACACATCGGATCCGGAGCACAGGAAGCAATTCCATCACGTCTCGGATGCGGTGGTCAATGCACTAGGAAATATAGCGGCCAATATCCAGGGCGATTCGGAGATGCTGGAGCTGCTGGGCAAGCTGCTGGAACTCTTTGTGCAGATCGGTTTGGATGGCGAGCGCAGCTACGACAATACGCCGGGCGCCCAGAAGGCCAGCTCACGTGCTGGTAATCTGGGCATGCTGATACCGGTGATTGCGGTACTGGTGCGCCGTCTGCCGCCGATCAAGAATCCCCGCCAGCGTCTGCACAAGCTCTTCAAAGACTTCTGGGCCTACTGTGTGGTTATGGGCTTTACCAGTGCAAGACTTTGGCCAGCGGATTGGTATCAGGGTGTCCAGCAGATAGCCGCCAAGTCACCGCTACTCATCTCGCAGACCGCCCATAAATCAGATATGAGGGAACTCAATTACACCCTGGCCATCAAGAGCGATTCGGTGAACGAGCTGCGTAGCCAGATCCTGGTTCTTTTGGAGCACTCCACGGACAATGTGGCCACGTCGATCAATAAGCTCTCCTTTGCCCAGTGCACCTATCTGCTGAGTGTCTACTGGCTGGAGATGCTGCGCGTGGAGAATGCGGACGAACCGAGTCTGGAGCCGATCATGAGCTACCTCTGCGACACGGCGCTTCAAAGGGACAAAACGGGGATCTGGCAGTGCGTGAAGTGGTAGGGTTACTGCGGTTAACACTACGACATGTAGAGCTTTCTAATGATCTCTCTTTTGTTCTATAATTTCGTTGTAGCGTTGCTGACCAGGTGTTCGAAAAGTTCCGTAATGTTCTATACGCCCACGACGAAATCCGTGAGAAGGTGCTGGAATCGCAGGCCACCCTTCTGCTAGTCTATTTCAACCACATCCACAAACCCATCCAGGTTGTGGCCGATCAGTACCTCTCCTTTCTGGTCGATCGTTTTCCCCATCTGCTTTGGAACCGCCGGGTGCTGTGGTGCATGCTGGACATCCTTCAGCTGCTGGCGTACTCCCTGAGCTTGGATCCCAACGAGGAGACGCCCACATTGCGGGTGGTGTCCACACCGTACACCCTGCAACTGATGGATTCGCTGCCGGCGAGGGAACTGCGCCTGAAGGACTTTGCCGATCGGTGTCAGGGCATCGTGAATGAGGCCATGAAGTGGGCGCCACGATCCACGCGGTCGCATCTGCAGGAGTATCCCAATCAGATCCCCACGCCCGTATTGGCGCACCACAGTGGATTGGCCCTGGCCTTCGACTCGGTGGTGAGCAGTAGTGCCCTGCACACGGGCACCATGAGCAAGCGTCCCAGTTGCGTGAACTCCGATACGCCCAGATTCGTATCGGTCTTATGCCTGCGGAGCAAATACGCCGGAGAGATAAGCGGCCTGCTGTCCGTACTTAGTGAGAAGGATAAGGCCGGATTGGCGGATCGGCTGGTCAGCGATGTGTGGGAGGCCTGTGCCGAGAAGAGCGATGCCCGGCATCGTGGGGCTCTTTGGAGGGCCACTGCCTATCTGATCATCTGCTCGGAGATCGACAGGAAACTGCTGCATGCGGTGGCCAGTTCGCAGCTGGAATTGTTCACCGAGTCGGCCATGGAAACCGCTGTCGAGTGCTGGCAATGGGTACTAACGGCCCGGCAGGATCTGGAGCTGTGCTTCATACAGGAGATGGTCAGCGCATGGCAGACGACATTCGAGAAGCGAATGGGCTTGTTTGCCTGGGAAACGGAGGTCACAAATCCCCTGGCCGCCTACGAGGGCTGCAAGTTGGTCAGCAAGCCCATACTGATTGCCCCCCATTTGATTTGGCTGCAGTTGCTCTCCGAAATGGTGGACACGGCGAAGTACTGCAATCGGGACAAAGTGGAGATGTTCTGCCTGCTGCTGCATCGATGTCTTCCCATACTGAAAAGCAGCAAGCAGAACCGGCAGGTCTCCACAGTGGGCTGTCGCTTCAAGCTACTGCAGTGCGGACTGTCGCTGCTGCAAGGCAATACCATACCCAAATCGCTGGCAAGGAATATCCTTCGTGAGCGGATCTACTCCAATGCACTGGACTACTTCTGCGGACCGCCCACGTGCCCAAATCAAAGTCGGGAGCAGTTGCTGGAGGATATAATGATACTGCTGAAATTCTGGCAGACCATGCGCAGCGAAAAGAAGCACCTGGTCACGTCCGAAGTGGGCGACTATGATCTGACCAACGCCTCCGTGAGCTCCACACAAATGCTGGCCGTGAGAAATAACCCGGAGACAGCTTCACTGATCAGTGGCAGTGGCTTGGTCAACGATTACACGCGTTCCATGAGCGCCAGTGGCAATGCGGTGGGCATGGGCGTAGGGGCGGCGGGTGGTGGGAGCAGCAGTGGCTGGTACAACACCATTCCGCACTCCACGTCCACCTTATCGAAGCGCTCGAATCGCTCCAAGCGGCTGCAGTATCAGAAGGATTCGTACGACAAGGACTACATGAAGAAACGCAATTTGATCCTTGAGCTGCTGGCCGTCGAGCTGGAGTTTCTCATCACCTGGTACAATCCCAACAGTCTGCCGGATCTTATAGTTCCTGGTGAGTCAAGTTCTTATGCCAAATACTTATCATTTATTATTAAATCGATTGTACTATAAGGCCTATTGTATTAGCTGTAAGGATAGACTAAAATCTTTACTCATGTTTCCTTTTCAGGTGAAGAACAGATCACGGAGTGGCGAAACCGGCCGTACAAGCCGAACGTTTGGCGGGATTATGCCCGACTCGCCTGGTGCTACAATCCAGCACTGGCTGTCTTCCTACCGCAGCGGATCAAGAATGCGGAGATCATCGATGAGGAGGTGTCCCGACTGGTCTGCTCCGATCCAATAGCGGTGTGCCACATCCCCGAGGCACTTAAGTACCTGTGCACCACCAAGAACCTGCTGCAGGAGAGCCCGGATCTGGTCTACATCCTGTCCTGGTCGCCGGTGACGCCCATCCATGCGCTGGCATACTTTTCGCGGCAGTATCCATCGCATCCGCTGACCGCCCAATATGCCGTGAAGACCCTCTCTTCGTATCCGGCGGAATCGGTGCTGCCGTATATTCCACAATTGGTTCAGGCACTCCGGCACGACACCATGGGCTATGTGGTGGAGTTCATCAAGAATATCTCGCGGAGATCGCAGATTGTGGCGCACCAGTTGATATGGAACATGCAGACGAACATGTACATGGACGAGGACCAGCAGCACAGGGATCCCAACCTGTACGAGGCTCTCGATCAGCTATCGCTAAGTATTATCGCTTCGTTTTCGGGCGCCGCCAAAAGGTTCTACGAGCGGGAATTCGATTTCTTTGGCAAGATAACGGCCGTCTCCGGTGAGATTCGTTCGTTTGCCAAGGGCATTGAGCGGAAGAACGCGTGTCTGGCGGCGCTCAGCAGAATCAAGGTGCAGGGCGGGTGCTATCTGCCCTCTAATCCAGAGGCCATGGTGCTGGACATTGACTATAGCAGCGGCACCCCCATGCAAAGTGCGGCCAAGGCGCCGTATCTGGCCAGGTTCCGGGTGTATCGATGCGGCATCACGGAATTGGAAACACGGGCCATGGAGGTGTCCAATAACCCGGTACGAATTTCTCCGTTGTCATGTAAAGCTTTCCCCTAAACTGTCTCTTTTAAACAGAATTCCCAGGAGGATGCAAAGATGACGCTGGGCGTAGAGTCCTGGCAAGCGGCCATCTTCAAGGTGGGCGACGATGTGCGCCAGGACATGTTGGCCCTCCAGGTGATCACCATCTTCAAGAGCATCTTCCAGCAGGTGGGACTCGATTTGTTTTTGTTTCCCTACCGCGTGGTGGCCACCGCTCCAGGGGTGAGTTCTTTACCATGATTGCTCCAAGCCTTGAGATTTTAATTGGCTTCCAAACGGTTCCAGTGCGGGGTGATCGAGTGTGTGCCGAATGCCAAGTCGCGGGATCAACTCGGCCGACAGACGGACAGTGGACTCTCTGAGTATTTCCAGCATCAGTATGGCGATGAGAGCTCCAAGGAGTTCCAGGCGGCGCGGGCCAACTTTGTGAAATCCATGGCCGCCTACTCGTTAATTGGCTATCTGCTTCAGATCAAGGATCGGCACAATGGCAACATCATGATCGACAAGGATGGCCACATCATACACATTGGTGAGCTGCAGTTTCGTGATTCTAACTTTCTAAACAACTATTATTAATATTATTAACGCCATTTAAACCCCCGTTCTTATGCAGATTTTGGCTTTATGTTCGAGTCCTCGCCAGGTGGTAATATCGGCTTCGAACCCGACATGAAGCTAACCGACGAGATGGTCATGATCATGGGCGGCAAGATGGACTCTCCGGCCTTCAAGTGGTTCTGCGAGCTGTGCGTCCAGGCCTTCCTCGCCGTTCGCCCGTACCAGGATGCGATTGTGTCCCTTGTATCCTTGATGCTGGACACCGGGCTGCCATGTTTCCGTGGACAGACAATCAACTTGCTGAAGCAACGGTTCGTGGCCACTAAGAATAACAAGGAGGCAGCCGCCCACATGCTGGCTGTCATCCGCAACTCGTACCAGAACTTCCGTACCCGTACCTACGATATGATACAGTACTACCAGAACCAGATACCCTACTAAAAAACCAAGTACAGGCGCCTCTTGTTCGTTGTTATTGGCCAAAAGACACTTGAAATATCCACAAAACTTGAAAACTGCAAACTCACAAACGGAAAATACCCCTATTCGTATTATTGTTTCGATGCCGCACCCGTATTCGTATTCCTTAATCCGCATTTCCCGAGTGTGTGTTTCTTTTTTTGTTTCGCGTACTTATAAGATGTTGAACTTTTTCCAAGATTTTACGACTCATATATACGTTATACAATATTTATAAACATTAAATCAATTATAGGGCAATATGTTATACAATGGTACAAATATGTCATTTAATGGGAATCGGATATCGTTTTTTGGTGGTTATAAACAAATTTAAACTTTTACTTAGGAAATAGCATATTTTGGTTTTAGTTTAACCGTTCTGTGTGATTGAATTAAGAAAATAAACATTTGCCAAAACTATTATGTCAAAAAAATTAAAATCAAATCGCTAATTAAATTTACTAATTTATTAGGCTTTGAAGTCTAAATATTGTAAAAATACTTAAATGGTAGCTGAAACACCACTCAATATTTTTACGCGGAGTTTGAACGTAATAGTATGAATAGTAATAGTAAAAAAAATTCAATTAAAATTTTTTGTGAACATTTAACGGTGATAATTTTAGAAACAAATTTAAATAATTTAACCGATTAAATCGATAAGAAACGACAACCAACCAGTGTTGCCAGTGGATTTCCGACAACACGGTAGTATTAAGCGATTTTTTAGTATTTATTAAGTTTTGCTAGCTGTTAACAATCGAATTTGTAATAATATCGAATAGCCATCGACTTTTCCGTAGTGTTTTTGTGTTTTCGTCGAACGGTCACACCATACGTTTACAGTCGGCCACACTTTTGTGTTATCGATAACGATAACAGATATATACAGATCTTGTTGTAAGTAAAAAAAAACTCGAGAAGAAAATTAAATAAAGTAATTAATTAATAAACGCAGCGACAAATAAGTGCCAACAAGTTCTCGTGCAAACGGAAACACACCAAAAGCAAAAAAGTGCCGCAACATACGGGAGTTTTTCCAATTTTCGCCCCCCACTTTTTTTGTGCGAAGCGAGTGTGAAAGGTACATATATACGGAAGGAAGGTGTAGCAAAAGACGAAAAAGCGTGTTTGTGTGTGTGTTGAGTAAAAGAAAGCAATCGAAAAAACGAAATGAAACGCACAAAAATGTCATGAAAAAACAGAGAAGCGTATATATTAAAGCAAAAACATAAGAAAATGAATCTAACATTAATAAGGTGTTCGAATAAATAGGCGCCGCTCTCTCAACGTGTGCCTGTGTATGTATATGTATGCGAGTGTGCGTTCGTCATTTTTCACCCCATGCGTGTTGCTTTTTTTTGTTGTGTGTGCGTTTGATTTGCCAAAGAAATGGTGGTAATTCTTGAGAAATTAAAACTGGAAAATTGCGATTTATTTTTTGTAGTACATTGCACACATACACATTGCAAGGCGAGGAAATTGCGTTACACAAGCACACCCGCTGGCTCTGCCGACGTCGCCCAGAACCTCCACTGTGGTGAACAAGTGTACGTGTGTTCATGTCCGTGTGTGTGTGTGTCGCGTGTCTCTCTCTGCGTGTGTGTGTGGGTGTGCGTGCTTTAATAATCTAATAAATTTTTTTTCGAGTGTTGCAATCTAGCGAAATAAAATAACAAATGATACCAAAGTAACAACAACATAAATAAAAAAATTGTTGCAATAAGCAAACAAACACACGCGAAAAACGAAAACTAACGAAACTGCAACTAAACTGCGCCTCTACGCCTGCGTCGACGTCGACTACGCAGCCAGCGCACAGTGGAGCAGAAAAGGCAAGTGAGTGGGTTAAGAAATATAAAAACAATAAATTCAAACTTAGAGCTTCCAAATGGAAATTTGTTTTTGGAAAAAAATAAAAAATACGTTTAAAACAATTCACTTTTGAAAGCCGACTGCATCAAATGGTTCGACTGATCCGATTAAAAAAATTACTAGTTAAAAAAAAATATATATATATGTATATACGTTTCAAGCAAATGTTAGAAAACCTTTTTTAATTAATTTAAATTTAAAATTGTTCACAATACAGCCCTTTATGTTTATATTTTCTATGTTCCAGGGCAACATATAATGATTAGTAATATTATTTTAAGAATTTCTGATTCAACATTTAATCACCTGATGAGTTGTGGGTTTTACAAAAATACGTTGGTTCGATTAAGGGGTTGACAATAGTTTAGTAGTTATTTTGAATACAGTTGGCATTTAATTTCTTTTAAAAATGACACATTTTAAGTAGTTAATTAAAATCTTTTTTACCTAGAAGTAATTTTAAAAAACGTAAATGGGATAAAAGAAAAGATTTAAAGACCTTTGTCTTTACTCGGAGAAGTGCGTCAAGTGTTTTTTTTTGCAAGTGGTGGGTCATTACTCATTTGACACGATAATTGATTGTACAGGGAATGTTCTGTAACAATAATTTTGCTCTCTTTAAAAAACGTACAGCTTCTTTATCTCAATAAAATATTATTGTGAGTAACAGAATCATGGGAAACTATTCTTCTATAAATTGAATGTTCCATCTTAAATGTATGTTTTTAAGTATAGATTGCAAAGAGTTCGTTTTATATAACAATTTAAACAAGTTTGATTCCTTGAAAGTAATATAGATTAAAATCTTGCAGATTAAATAATAAATAAATAATCCTAAAACCTAAATTTCTATATAACTTAACACAAGTTGCAACTATGTTTTTGTTGCGAGGTTTTGTTGCGAGGTGCAATTCGTATAATTTTTCAAAGAAAACTATAAAGATGTATATGAACTCAAAAGGCTTTTATGCCTTATTTTTCCTACTATATTGTTTATTGTATCTCCACTGTTATTTATTTTTGACCCTCTATGCCTGACAGAGTCGGCGTCTATGGCGACGTTTCCATAAAATTAACAGTCTGCCGGTCAAAGGAATTTAAATTAAATTGGTGCGAAAACTCTTTGTGTGTCGCGTTGCGTCTTATTGTTGTTTTTATTGCCTTATTGCTGTTTGTATTGGGCTGAATATCATTATTCTGACTGCAAAGTGCAACGTTTGCACTGAAAGTGACATTGAAAATGACGACAACAAATAGCACCCAAAACAGTCACACACATGCGTGAGAGAAGAGCCGAGGATTGAAATTTTTCTATTCTAATGATCGTCAAATTTCCTTTTTATTTTTCCTGGAACCCAATTGGCAATTATGAATGAACGGATCCAGTTCTACGAAGGTTTACTTTAGTTTTTACTATATAATCAACAAAAATATTTTTATTTTAATCTTTCTTAACGCTGCCGAAAAAAAGAAAACATTAAAATTAGTGTGCCAAATTTTTGTTTACAATTTTTAATATTTTCTATGAAGATCAGGAGGATTTTTTTGTTGTGATAAAAAATGGGGAGTTTCAATTCTGAAGTCCAGTTAAATATTATTTTATTTCAAAGGGAAGCCCCTTTTTTAAAGTTAATTATCGGTGTTGCCATACAAATTTAATGATTTGATTGCCTTTTTAAAAAGTGCGCAAATTTGTTTGCTTACATAATTTTTTATTTTTTAAACAAATATATAAGGAAATGCTTTCGCAATAATTGTAGATTGCAAGTGTGTGAGTGGGAGTGAAATGGGCTGAAAAAGGAGAGAGAGTAAGGGAACTATTGCATGCTATGCGACTGCACGACATCAACATCCCCACCCATACAAATGAACTCTAACGCCCACGAACTTTGCAGGAACACGCACACACACACTATTGAATGCCAGAGTTGTCAACTTCCTATGCACATGTGCATGTCTCACCTGGCAACGTCACTAAAAATAAAAGAAAAAAATCGGAAAACAATGAAGAGTTTAACAAAACCTGTAAAAGAGTGTTGGTTAAGTCGGGCTTCTCCTGCACAGCTGTTTTCCATCCACAAACACACATTTACTCCGGATTTTATGTTTCGTTGGCAACACTTGTTGGCGAGTGTGTGTGTCATGTCCTTCGCCTGCGCGTGACATTCCGATACTTTGTACACAATTTACACGCCGCCAACGTCTTATCGATTATTCCTTTCGTCATCGTAACCTCTTTTTTTTTAGATTTGCTTGTCAGCATTGAAAGTCTTATAGCTATAAAAATATTCTATTTTTTATGTCCCCTCTAAAAATAGCCTATAATCAAATAAATAGGATTTCTTTACTTTTTATATTGTTTTAAACTATCGATTACAAATAGTATTTCCAAATAATAAATAAAATGTGTACTTCAAAAATATAGATTATGAATAAAGTATTAGTAAATGTAATATTTCACTTAATAGTCAAAATTGGGTTTACATTAAATTATTTGTTTTTTAACTACTATTTTCCACAATTTTCGACTACTAATACTTTTTGGCGGGAGGAAAGCAGGGCTGACATCATTTAGCAGTCGTCAATCGATTGCAGTTGACATATTGGATTCGACAGTGTTGTAAAATGGTAGCAGCAGCACTAGTTGCGTTGCGTCGCAGTCGCTGCGCTGCCGACTTCGACATCCTTGCTGCTCCTTGCTGCGCTCCTGTCACCGATTTCTCTCGCTCTCTCTTTGCCACTGTTTTTCTCTTAGGCACTTGCCCCGGACTGTCTCTCAGTTTTCCTCTGCCCAGTTTGGTTCGTCAGTCTAATTCTGCCAGCAGCGGGCTCAAAATCAATGCGAATTTTCCGCGACGCCGTTTTTGTCTTTTTTTTACTACCACGCTCGGTTTTCCCCGAGCGGTTTCACTTACTTTATTTGCAAATATAAATTTTTGTTCTATAAACTCGTTTAAGTTGGCCAAAATCAGCTGATCAACATTACGTAATTGTGTGTGTGTCACGTGCGTTCCTCTCTGAAGCGTGTGTGTGTGAGTGGGTGTGACGGCTGTGGAAATTCAAAATTAGCTTTTTTTATTTAACCGGCAGCTGTAACCACGATAGAAAACTTGTGCTTAAAAAAACTATTTTTGTTGTTTTTTCTTAAGTGTGTGTCACATTTTTGTCTCTAAGACTTTAATAAAATTCACGACCAAATACTGTAAGTTTTAATATTAGGTCTATAATGTATTATTTATTTGCAAATGTTATTAGAACGTTTAAAATACCTAAAAACTTGTATGAGAAAACTAAAACAAAAGATATTCTACTGCTTTGTAAAAGTTAAAATAGTTTTGTTGTTTATATTAATAGTGTTAATAGCAATTACATAAAATAAATGTAATAAATAAAAGGAAAT